AAACTTTCCACACACGCTAAATTTAACAGTAAACTATCTATCCAGCTGACAACTACCGTTGAGTCCTGTTAAGCTGTCCCTCAATTACTGATAGATTTAACGGTGTGACGACACAGTCGTTTGGTATACGTGTAACTGATTCCGTAAGAAACGCACCATTAAGCCATATTATGTTTCTCCCTGTAGCTGTGGTATCATCAGGCGATCCGGCCATCACTAGCTCCGGTAGTTCAACGGTCACTAAAGCCAACGCAGTCGCCTTATATACGTATTATACTTAAACCGCAAACTTCAAAGGACTTGTCGCCATGAGCGATGCCGCCACCTCAGCTCCCAACTAGCGTAAGCCCAATCTTCGACCCCAGATGCCTGACCAATCGTTCGCTGACCGGCACCGGCACCGGCACACCCTCCAGGTAGTACAAAGCTCTAGGGATTTCCTAAATAGTACGACAGTAGTGAATGACTAGCGAGCAGTATATTCTATATACGAATAACGGCGAACGTATCGTAAGTTCAATAGCGACTCCGGCACTATTGGCCATGGGGCCCGTAGCAGGACGAGTAAACAGTAGCGGTTGGCTCAGTGCTCGTCTAGCGTTAGTGTGTATCTTTCTGACTGTTTGTAACGGTGTGTACATATGTTCACGCGTCTAGATGTACAGCCTTTACTAGGCATCGTTCATCGTATTTCAATGTCTGACGACTCATATGTGCCGACGGGACGGGCTTTAATTTTCATATGAATGCCATTCGATCCTAGCTATCCCTCACGAGGTTTCCCCATTGAACACATCCTGTCAACCCCCGGCGAAACCTGACCTTTATGGTGCTGCCAGCAACTAGGCCGTAATGCAGTACGATATCATCATGCGGTCCTGTTGGTTGAACACAATGATTCTGAAACCACCTAGGACACGTTGCGCTAGCTTTAATCGGCGAACCGAACAAGACGGAATAGAACCACATATGCTGCGTACCGGATACTCACGGTGTCATACGATTATACTCAGTTCGGTAGAGGAGGATAAAAGATGACGCCGCATCGGCTGTTTCTGTTCAACAAATACCAAACATGAACTTAGCGTCTGAAGTAAACGTAGTAAGGTATAATCACATTATATAGAATTCAATGTAGTGCTTGCAATTAGCTTACTATCTACAAGCTGCCAAACAAAAAGTATATAATAAAAAAATGTAAAATTAAGTGCTTCCACATTATGCTCGGGGTTAATAACTCTTGACCGATCAAGCTCCGCTGCGAGTGCAGCATATGGAACGACCGCAACAGTTTCCCCACCTTGTGGCAACTCAGCGTTTCCCATTGCACGGAATGGAAGCCGTGCATCCTAAATGTTAATATATAACGATTCTTTCACATGACTGCCTTCCGATATTGGGTCGCCGTAAAGCTTGTTAGAGAATAATTAAAATGATTTGGGCTAGTTTCAATTCAAAAACTCTGACCACATATGTTAGTATTCCCGGGTGCTGGAGCATGCTTAAAAATCGAAATGAAAACAGGATTACCTCGGGGAGGTAGAGCGGTGGATTTCGACATGAAGTGTACAACTTCTACACAGGCTCAGGATACGGTGTGTTATACTATGCCTGCTGTTTTCAAGTAATGGACTTCTACGTCAATGGTATTTTTTAGGCATCTGTCGATGATATTTACCTGTCGAACGCAGGACATGTCCCACTAAGTGTGAAACGGTTGGGGTTGTTTGCTAAGTTCCCGTAACTGCAAAACTGTTTACCAATGCGGTGCGAACAAAGTCACTCATTCGTACTCGTGGCCGGAGAACGTTAGTTAGAAGTCGTTCGGGTGTCCTACTGTTGTGTATTTGCACGATTAGCAAGTTGCTATAGGCAGCATTCAATGAGGACAGTGGCTATTACCATTATTATGTGCAATTATGTTATTGGTTTATGATTCGATAGGTATTGCGTACGTAACTTTCCGCATGAAACTTTTTAGCCGAGGTTTTTTCGGCCTGGTATAAAGTTCTGCCTTGTAGGTTTGTTTTTTAGCGACATTTAAAAGAACCCATAGCAAGTTACGTTGAAGAAGAGTAAATATTCGCCAAACTAAAAAAAAAGTTCTATTCTGAGCAACATTCAAATAACAATTTATAATCCTCTTTTGCCTTACCTGCATGCACATAGACACTCATATTTCACTTAGGTCTACATATACATATATATAAACAGACGCCTAGCGATTGGTTATAGCTTCGATTTATAAGTGCCCTAAAAAATATATGTATATATGTACTAGAAGGCCCTGAGCAGTTCTTTCTGCTGCAAATTTCAGCTGCTAGTCGTCGTTCAAGTGGCATCGATGGTGGTGATAACCACAGGAGCAAGCTATATAGGCAAGTCAGCCTCCATCATAGCTGGCCATTGCCAACATAGAGCGCAAATATATTATGTAATAACCAGGCAAATGTTTTGAGTACTACCGCGTTGCCGGCAGTTCGGTGATACGCAAGACAACCACGCCCAGCTTCATTGCAATAAGAAGCAATCTCTACATACAGGCACGTACGTGTACATACGCAAAGCCATATTGCCCCTCTCTCATCTACCAACTGTCCACTCCGCCACATCGCTTCTGCGTCCACTTTAACTTTTAGCTGATAAAGAGGAATGCGTCTCTGTTAAAAGCAAATTTCAACGATGCTCAAAAGCGTTTATTTTTTTTTATCACTACGGAATTATCAGGGGCATCATGTCATCATGACATTATAATAGCCGTCAGGTAGCTAATTGGTCGGTCGGTCGGTGGGTGGGTGATCCTTTTCTCTCGCTCTATCTGTCTCTCAGCTTTGAGTGAAAGCAAGGCCTGGGGCAAACTTAGGAATGGTAAGCTCCAATGGGTAAGCATGCGAACGGAAACTCAACATTGCGATTATAAACAAATATATAATATACATGGACTTACAGATGATATACCTGTATAACTTGCTGTTTACTTGTACACTTATTATTTATACACAAATGAGTCTCGTATGACCTAAAGAATTGGTGAGCCTGCTTAAAAAGTGGAGAACCATCGTGTGACAGATATGTTGTATGGAAAAAAACGGACGAATCAAAGAAGGCTTTCAGCTCCATGATCGAAATCATATATGTATATTGTACGGTACATACAACATTGTATCATTTTACTTAATTGCATATAATGAACGTCGCATCTTAATCACGATGTTTTTTCTTATCATACGATCGATCACCGACACAGTTCTTGTATAACGTTTTCATTGGGATAACAGTGTCTTGTGACAAGTCTTTTCAATAAACAACTCCGACTGAATACATTCCGCGTCCAAATGGGTAGTTTACAAGGAGGAAGGCCTCAACACACAAAACATACAACAGAGTTTTAAGACTTTGACCCAAAAACACAATCACAACAGAAGTCTGGTTACAGCAGACGATCTTACTTTTGGTTTCCCTGCAACTGAAGACCGCGAAGCAAAGAGCGGCAGCCGAAGGTGGAATTGGTAGATCCTGTAAGTTCTGAAGGATTCCGTGGAGGATTTGCGCAAAAGCAGAGGACAGAGAGTCAAACTGGACAAATTCCCAATGGCTCTATACACATATATACTCAATGAAAACTATGAGCTAAAGTATCTATGTACATTTAGTACAGGTGAGTGTGTCTAGGATACCTTATCTAAATCATATTTCCTAGTAATTTGCTATATATTAAGGTCCATCTAAGCGCAACAATTTAACTAAATAACTGAGAGCACATGTCAACAGTAATCAAAAGTGACTGCTGTTATTGGTGAGGCCGTAAGAACTCGTGGAGGGTGAGCTTCTGGTACCTATATATTGGAAAGTAGCCAATTCCTATGCCGATACTGAGACAAGTTCATAATAGATTTACAGTTTGCCTCTGGTTTTCCTCTGATTTGATTAGCTTTTTTTGTATTAGCTTTTTTTTTTCTTTTTTTTTTTATCTGCAATAACTACGGAAATAGAAGTTATCCTCAGCTATCGAAAGAATAGGCAAACTTGAAAAATATATTTATATATATATATATATAATGCAGGGCATTATATTAAAGAATAAACGTATCCTTTTGTGTACTTAAAACGAAACTTTTCTTCTCACAATGAATAAAATTTCAAAATTGACTATTTCCTTTATATCTGTATCGGATTTTTCGAAGTAGTATAGACAAGAGAACAAAAAAAATGTAGCGTCCTTCGTTTGCTTTAAAGCTACTTTTTCTTCTCAGGAACGTTTCTTTAAATATCAATGTGACGATAACTCATTGCTCAGTTCGATAAACCTTCTATAGGCCCACGCTAGTTAATTCAGTTGACTGATAGGGGGGTTGCAGGGTAACAAAGCTAGAGAAAAGAAAAAAGCTTCTGATGTCCTAAGGACAAGATTCAACTCTAAGATGGACACTGCACGACCAAAAATCGTGCTATGCGATGATCGTGATAAACTTCTGGTACTCAAGGAACAATCAGACATCTCTACTCGGCAAGACGGGAGTGGCAGACAGCCGTGGCGGAGTCAGAGAACAAGTTATGCTGCTCAACTTATGAATAAGCAGCTTTATCTTAGCGTCAGTTCGTTCATTGTTTAGTACGTTGCTTTTGTTTCAATAGCTACGATATTGCCTATGATAGAGGAAAAAACAGACGATAAAGACGTCAATTTTCTAAACACTGGAAAAAAAATTGTCCGTACGATTTTTGTGATTAAATTCGAATTTCTTTGCACTACAAAAAACTGGAATAACTATTCTCTATATACCACCGTACAGGTGAAGTTCCGTCGTGCTCGAGCCGAAACCAGGCTAAAACTACCTCAGTGTAGCTCGATGATGTGATTCTGGCCATTCTCACTTAGTGTTTAGATAGTTTCAATCGGCCAATTCAATGTTTTCAACCACTAGTTAAGCAAACGTTACATGAACACAGAGTAAAATTTCACCTAAAATCTACTTATACTGACAAAATGAATCCCTTACCTCAAAGAAACGCATCGTGGATCCGGTCTTGATTGCACTGAACTTTACACGGTTATTCTCTGATCGAAGATCATCAATCTTCGAGAGGGCCGGCCGTTCGTTGTACTTGATAATGAAGTCACCCAATACTGTTCCGTACGACACCATAATAGCCAAGCAGAAGATAAACCAGGCAAAAAATGCAACTATGACTCCAAGAGAACTAGGAGAAAAGGCGGAAAAACAAAAAAGAAATAAATACAAGCATATGTTAGTCCACTCACATGAATTACGTATCAATAACGATGGAAGATTGCAAATATATCAGTCATATATATAACTAATTCGTACATTGGTTGATCAATGAACTCCTATGATGAATGAATCTCGCCAGACAATATCATCATAGGCGAAACGTCCGGAACGTGTGTCTGCATATAGCTAAAGCCTGATGTTTCTTCGCTGTTATCACTTAGATCGTCCCAGCGTTGTCCAGGATCGAAAAAAAAGGCCGGAATACAAATAGTATGGTACACAGATAAAAGAGTGGGTGTCAAGCAATCCAAAAGGGCCCGACTTGAAAAAAAAACAAACATCACTTATTTAGACATTAAGATGGCATCCGATAGATTACCTACTTTATTAGATGACATCTGTTACGTTTCACGTGAAGTCTTAAATTAGGGATGAAAGCTCAAGCTGACGTACGCCTTAACAACGCAGACACTGCAACTGATTCCAACGAATTATATTTTGGGAAGTTCTATTAAGCAACTTTATATTTGACAGAAGGTTGTACTAAAAATCTGGATGCAAAAAGGATACAATTCGTAACTACAGATCCACGCACTTCGGTCGATGCTGGAATCTCTGGAACATGAGGGTCGAGTAGAGGTACCAGAAGCAGTTTCCCACGGTGAAATGTGTTTCAATTACGGTATCGGTAACCGATGACCATTCCCGAGGCGATAATCGGGCGATGAACGTAATAACGAATGTGGCTGGTTATAGAGAAATAAAACTTAGATAATCTCTTGCTACTCGTAGCCAGACGTAGTCATACATGCATGTATTTAGTAAGTTCGAAACAGGACAAGAAATCGCTGCCCTTTTAGAGAAACAACATCTAATTACGTGAGAACACGGTAAATTTGCGCTAATATAAAGAAACACATTACTGCACAGTCATGTAACTTCACATAAAACATTTATATTAACAAATTATATTCATGAACGGAACAGCATAAAAGGTCCCTTACTTATTTTGCTTTGTAACTTTTTTAGTGGGATTTTCAACTTGACGCCTTTCGAACATGCGCTATTGAAACATATTACTGAAACTTGTTAAGTTGATGCGGTTATAGTTTCATAATGTGGTTTACCGAACATCATTGTCCCGAACAGAGAGAACCACATTATCGCGGAGAACGGACTTAAAAAGTTGTGTTCGAGTGGGTCGACCTCCCGTCTAGCTAGAAGTCCCAGGCCCGCCTCGAGGAATGGAAAGCTGAAATCGAGGATCTGGTAACGCTCAGCGTTAATTGTAAACGGGGCAACTGCGATGTCAGCTTTCTGTAAGGGAATAGTGAGAAGGAAATAGTTCTGAATGTTACGTTTTCTTTACCGTTGAGCTTTCTTCAACACAGTAATATTCCAGCATTAACTCATTTAAGAAATAGCGAAAACTCGCTCGAATCTTTCATTTTACACGAGTGGAGTAAACAAAGAATGTTTCGTTAGTAGGGTATTGTTGTAGGATAGTTATAAGATAATGTCAAGTATGGACCCATAACGTATGCATTTATTCTAACGTTTTGTCCCGCCTGAACAAGTCCTTGGAACCACTGCCACGGTACGGAACTAGAAGGTCTAACTGGAAGGTCTTGCTGAACTGATTTAGGATTTTTTCAGTACATCTATGAAATGCAATGTTAAGCACACACCAAGCATACAACATTTGTTGACGCCAAAGTTTCTGCCGGCCGCATGTTCATAGTCATCACGGCTATGCACTCAAAAAGGCGGGCATTAGCTACGTAGCTCCTTTCGTATCATCTACATTAATCGACTACGTATATCTATAAAAAAACAATACAATGTTTTCTTACGCCAAGCAGTATTTCTCCGATCATTCCGTTGTAGCTATTGGTGGTCGCATTATACGTCCCGTAAGCGCCATCCTCAACTTCCTTAATGAGATACTGGAACTTGAGTAGTCGTGCAAGCTTCTCCAACAAATCCACGATAAAGCCGGAATAACGTTCATTGCCTTTTAGATGGGGACTGTCATCGCGCATCAAGAACGGAGGCAACTAACAAACATAAAGTGCCATGTTACATACGTCACTAGACGTTACGATTGGGGTGCAGTTTTACTTTGTTATTTTATAACTCGTTTACAATGATCAAATCTACTCACGAGAATGGTTGTAACAACGAGGGCTCGATTATTGAGACCCTCATCGTGCTCAAGGGCTTCATCTGGTTCGCCCTTTGGATCCAGTTCTTTAATGAATGTAAGACCATCCAATGGACGCCAATCGGCTACCTTTAACATATAAAAAAAAAAACATAATATCAACTCGGACAAACAATCACGCGGTTAGATTCTGGATTCCGGAAAGTGGATAGAGAACACTTAATTTACAATTAGAACAATTATCCGAACTGCAAAGAGAACTACATCTACACGAGAGAAGGGTTGTACAGAAATTACGTAAAAAGAACAGCTATCGAGGGGCCTACGATTCTACTCAGAGTACGCTCGGTTATCTGTCCTATATATATAATGCTACAACAGTAACAAATTTCGTTTCGTAGATTCTTGGGTACCTAACTCTTGTGTAGGCACAACTATTTCGCTCGTGTTAGTCATTGAATGCGAATACAGCTCCTTTTGTGGGTTGTCTGTACTTCTGGTTCTGTAAACGTTGTCTTGACCTATCACAGAAAATAGGCCGAATGCTTATGTCGGCCAAAACAATATTGTGATATCTTTTTTTTTGTGAGGTACAAGCAGGTTCTTGTCCCTTATAACTAAGGAGTTAAATTGCATTTTGTCACAGTCTGTTAAGCACGCCCGAACGCAGTCACTACGAGTCACACGAAGCAGAACTAGTCAACTTATCGATTCTTATTTATTTTTATGTAATGTTTACTAGCTATTCGACAACTGGGCATTCTGCTAAAGTTTTGCTTGGTCACAAATAAAAAAACTGCCAATCTAGAGTTGTATGTGAGTGGCAAACATGGCTTTCTCCTAATTGATATAGGAGGCGTACCATTGTCACGGTGCCGTAAACCAATATCAGGCTACAAGCCCTATTCTGTCCGAAACGTGGGTATAACGCACAAAAGATCTATATTTAAATTAATGTCGCAAATATTAAATAGGAGTTTTTGTTTAGAGACACCTTGTCAAGGTATACGCTGATACCAATTGTACGGCTTCTCACATACCTTGTGAAAACGCAACAGCACAATATAGAAAATGACAGACTCCAACTAGTATTTGACTTGCGAGACAGTATCCGTATAAGGTCAAGGGAGCCAAGACACCATCTTGTGTTCTACACTGACGTCATATTATTAGCGTTTTGAGGATGATTTCTCTCGCGCTTCGTTTCAACAAACACAGTCACCTATTAGATTAATTTGAAAGATTGCTTAGATAACATATTGCTGACCCACCTTTGTTAGTTTGCCATCTTTCAGCAATTTGACGTGAACGTGCTTGACCTTACGAGCCCCCTTATCATCAAACTCGACGAAGCCTGTGACACCCTCAAATTTCGTTGACTGAAACAAATAACAGCCATGAAGCATATATATATACTTTATATTAATGAATATATATATATTTCAAAACTGTTCGAAGAACCGTACCTCTCGAATGCTGTCATATAGTTTACGGCCGTCTTTAAAGGCGACCTTTAAGGTACAGTTGCCAGGGGAACTCCTAATTGGCCTTTGCAATTTGGTGAGGTTATTTAACGTGTGTCCGATTTGGAGCACCGAATCGTAGATGAATGGTAGGTTTGGCTCGTTTTCAGATGAGTTCATCTCAAGCCTGAAAATATGAAAAAAGTACCTTTTTTAAAAAAAAAAAAGAAAAATTCTATCAATGTATCGGTTTATTACATAATGAACTTCTAAATGGTACCCGCAGTATATATTCAAGATTTAATTACAGTCTGTTACTGTTATAGACGATGTAGTTCTGGCTCTCCCACATGCCCGTATCCTTCAGGATAAAGTAGGCTCGTACGTGTAGTACGTTTTCCGCGTTACTGAATCACACGATTCCCGTTTTTTAGTTTTTTCTTCCATTTAATAACACATTAATTATTAGTAATTCTCTATTATTATCTCATATTGGCCAACTGTTAAGAGCTGTCGCCGTTCCATGCTAATATACGTCCATAAGCGCCATTGTGCCTACATCTTTGCAGTCAAAGCTAAGCACGACTCGCAGAATTTATACCCGTATGTTTCATGTTAATATAGAATTGCATAGTTTATCAGTGTATTAACTAACCGATTGAAACAAATTAGATAGCACTGAAAATCTCTCAAAGTCAGCCAGCTATTTCTTGATTCACAGTAACAATTCTAGCCGCAACATGCGCGGTCCATATTGTATCTCACTACGAGGAGTTTCACGGAGGCTAATAGCATAGCCCCAATACATGTTAGTATAAGATGCTCTTGAAACGAACCCTCTCTACTGTACGATGGCTTAAACATGCCCTCGCTGCAGTGGCTTTTTCCGAGCACTGCCAGCTGGCAATGACAGGACAAACACAGAATCTTCTATCGGTGCAAAAAACGTAACACCATTTCCACGAATGCGCAACGTATAGCTACATCAATATTTGTCGCGAAGGAAATACAACGAGACGCTATGTTGAGGGAATTTTCGGTAGAAAACAAAGCGCTGAAGAACACGCGACATATCGCGCGAAGGTAAACTTACACAGAATGGTACCTATCTTGGACGCCTCCGTCGAAGGTTCGTACGTAAACAAGCGCCTCTTAATTTATTGTGTTGCTTCTCGCTAGCCACACACTGCTATAGGGTAGATCACTGTTGGTTGTCGTAAAGACATTAGTATGATCGTCACTGATTTTCGTACGTTTCTATAATTTTCCACTGTCCAAAAGGACAGGGTAACTATGAATATATTTCCACAGAACGTGTATTACAAAACGCTATCATTAGTTGTCCATAAGCTGCCTGACTTATACAAACCAGACAGCTTAGTCTTTTGTTGGAATAACACTCGTGTTGCTAAAGTCTACGATATCAACGATCTCTACGTCTGCAGATGCTTTTCCTCTTTTCCACGGCTATTATTACCAATAAAATTACAGTAAGGTTACAGTCTTCTGCTTGCCGGTTATCTATATATAATATGCAGAAAATAGTGCATAAGTTATGTAGAAGAATAAAAAATCCCCAGCTATCTCATGCCATAGCCAGGACGTTGCAAGTCTACTATAGCAAAAACTAGGTTTACAAAAATGCTCATTGGACACAGGTAGCAAAGTCCCCACTTATCAGCAGGCGGTGACATGAGCATAATGGGCTTCCCGTATATCGGTTGCATCGGCCGCTAAAAACAAAATATACTGGGACTTACATACGATAGATCCAGTGCATTTCCCTGTTGTCTGGATCGACCAGTGAGAACGTGTAGACGTCGGCATCTATGAAAAACGTCCGCTGCGTTGAGTTTTCCGGTAATCGGATATCGCTGTTTGGCATAATAAAGCTATAGTAGTCCTGCGACAGGCCCGACATGGAAATCTGAGTACAAAAACATAAAATAGAAAAACTTTTTAATGTATTACTGTTACTGTGATTACTAGCTCTACAACTACAAGCGCCACCTCTACGATTTCAGTTTTCTTAGGGATTAACCGGCGCGCGATGTCAGCACGAGTGCTCCCTGACCTTAGGGAAATACTCAAACCCGCAAAATTCTGACGGAGCTTCTATAGTTTTCACATATATTCAACTACCACAGACGCGTGCGTAGGTTTTTAGCAGATCGCCTTTCGTTCTGATTACACCGTTGTCGACACAAGAATCCTCATTGATCCGGATCATAAAAAAATCTTTATGATGAAAACGTGTGTCTTCAGTAGCTTTGCACTATACGGGCTTCCCAATTAATATGATAAATTAGCTGATAGAAGTAAATAAAATTACTTTTCTACACTATATATCATTGTATTATATACCTGTAAATTATTCGTGGTGTACTAAGGTAAACATTGTCCATTTTTAAAACAAATATGCTGACCTCTTTGAGGACCTGATGGACGGATTTACTTTCGATGTCGACCACAACGTGTCGAATCGAAAGCTTAATAATATTGTCCCAGGGATTTGCGTCAACGGAGAGATCAATAGGAACAAGACGACGGCCCTTAAATTCTGGATCTTCTTCAAGCTCATTCATCCTTAAAAGCCCTAAATAGAAACAGTTAAAAGCGTTAATCCACTTATACGACAGAGCATAAACTTTGAGTACTGATGGCAGACTACGTGGCTTCATACTAAGCTCATATCGTAAACAGCGCGTGGGGTCAACAATGGTAAACATGCATTTACAATTAACTAGCGTGGTTCGTTTGACCAGTTGTGCTTTTCCGGCCCCCCAAAGCGTCTCTGCAGAAACGCTAAAATGAATGTAACACATTGCTCGATAGTGCCTAGTTAATCTGGTGCCCTTAATCCAATTTATTATTCAGAGAATCGAAATCATTATTTTCAGTCTGTTATTTTGTATCAGGAATTAGGTCAGATAGGTCGACTCCAAACGCCCATTTGAGTACCCATGGTCATCGAGAAAACCAGTGTCAGGGTCGCTAGGTCAAGCCCCGCCATCAGCGTACGCTGCGCAACATTTGTGATTGTGTACACGAGGTTAGGCCTATTTAAAGCCTACTGTCACAACTATGAGTGAGCCCCACGCCTGTACCGTACCAGTGCTCGTGTCGTAAATGTAGACGATGTGGTTCCAGCCCATGTGGAGTATTAGTTCTCTGACAACCTCAGCAAGATCCGATGGCGACGGGGCAAGTCCGAGCGATAGATCGTCAGGATCTTCGAGCTCTCGATTGAAACCTGTACGAATATGCGGAATGCGGACGGCAGATGATACCGATGAAATCAGCGAGTCCTCAACCGATGACTCCGCTCCGACAATTGCCACAACCCCGCTCTCAAATTGACGGCACACTGTAATTCAACACGGGCAAAAAATGCTGAAAAAACGGACTAGGCCTACGAATTTCTTAAGTAAAAATTCTTAAATGGTGAAAAGTATAGATATAGAGAACGAAATGAGATAAGTATCTGAACGTTGTAAGATCTAACAAATTTATGTGTAAAACTATAATTTCATATATGACATATTGCTCATATACATACGCGTGCCACTCGAATGAAGAACTAAATTAATCCAATTCGGCGAAAAGTTCGAAAGCGACAAGGATCAAGTTTAGAAGATAGTAATTCGTAAACGTGTCACGGGTTTCTAATATCTTTCTTATATTCTACATTTGATTTTGAGGTGGCCGTAATCCTTAAATACCATTCCAATATGCCGATGACGGTAGAGGAGTAATAAATATTATAATGACTTTTAGAAAGCTATGTACTGCCTGGTCAGCGTAATATTCTTTTGCATTTAGAAGCTAGTCACATTTGCAGCTCTCAAATTTGTTGTAATACCCTTGTTTTAAACATGTTCTTTTTTACTTAAATAGATTTCTAAATATAGAGCGCGGCAGCGTAGAAACAAGTTGAAAAAGTGCGTTGATAAACAGGGAAGCAGAAGCATGGGGGAAAAAAAAGAAAAATTGCCTTTCTTTTTTTTTGTTTTTTGATTGAATAGTTAATTATCAAAGTTAATTAAAATATATATATATATATATATGTAGAGCTGATTTCTCGATTTGATTTCGAAGGGTTACGGAAAGAAGCGTGAGAAAATAGCGTATCGGCTATCATAAGTATCATAACTATTGCCGTATATCGGCTCAACAACCTGAGATGCCGCGGAAAAATGCCACGAAACTAATTCAGGTTCGTAAATCCCTTAACAAAAAGCACAAACGGCGTCACTTACTGTCTGCCTTAGCAAAACTTTGGTCTCCGAAATATATTTTAGGGTTATCTTCGAATATACTTGTCATACGACATCCACGATGGCTGCACTCAGTAGCTCTCCCCACACCAGTAAAGCTTGAAGTGGTGGTGTGTGCGAAATTTTTTCGAAATTGTTGGTAATAACCCACTTGTTGTTGACGTTTAGTCACAAATCAAAAGGCAAGCGATTCCAACGCCCATTAGACATATTTAAAAGTTGAACGAAGAGGAAAAATAAAAATCTCAGAAATATATGATGGTCTTAAAGATTTCAACATTTTTTTAGTCTATCGAAAATCTAACAGAAGTCATGGTATCATGGATGCTCGGTACGCCAAGGAGTGAACGTTTTAAAAGAACCATGTCTAAAGAGAAACAGATTTGAATAGACAAAGCTACGGAAACGAGTATAACTTTGCATGTAATAGGCTTTTTGTTCTCTATATTTAAAGCCCATTTGGGTTTAACGCCCATTCGAATACGAATCTTCATTTTAAGCAAAGAGAAAGAACCGGTATGACACGCGCTGATATCCCTGGCCAATGTTTCAATATATTTTTTTTAATTGTTACTGACCTTTTACCCTTCGAATTGAATGATCGTTTCATAGTAAACTAGAAAAACAACGCTGCAAGCAGAAATGTCCGCCTGTTCTTACAGCAAAGAGATAATTGAATACAAGAATTTTACAGCTCCTTTTTCAGCCATTATCAGCATAACCAGATTATACTAATCTCCAAGGGATATGGTAACAAAACTAGTTTGAGATATTTCAAACAAATTACATGTTCAATAATTTTTAATAGGTCATAAATCGTTGTGAATTAGCTGCGAAGCACTGAAGAATATCCCTGCGACTATTGGTGAAAAAGGAAATCTAAAAACATAGTTGTCTTATTCTCCATATAATTTAATGTATATTTCTGTTAAGTGCACCATATTAGCGTCGCTGCCATAAAGTTGGGGCAATTGCTAATGGAACGACATGTGACATAAGTTAGAATCGAAGATTAGCGACTATCGTTGATGTCTACTTAGGTCGCGTCGAGAAGGCGTTATGTTAAAAAACGGTAGTATTAGAAGGTGAGCACGATAAAGGTTGGCTAGGGTATAATCAAAGCTTCATTTCAAGCGTGCGCAAACAAAAATTATTATTAGGGTCTGCATAAAACGAACTCTTTGTGCTCACTTCTGAGCTATGAACAGCTAGTTAGTCGTACAATGGCCTGCGTATCCATTAGTATTGTTATTAGCTGACAGCTAGATTCGATATTGATAGAAGAAATTGCCAGATTACTCAAATTTGCCAAATCGAGGGAGGAAAAAAGCTTTCAGAGTAGGCGCTTATAGCAGTAACCGGCAGAGCTCATTCGTCCTACAGCAGCCAGTTATTTAAAGAACAAAAAATATGAAATTTTCTTTTTCTTTAAACAACACTCATACGTGCATATACGTCCCAAAACAGCACAGTTCATCAATACAACTTAAATACCAGTTCAATTTCTTGAAGTTTGGAATCTGGAACATAATATCACTAATAGAGAATTGTATTGATCGGGAAGGGTGGGTAGAGTCAGGTCTGCAAAGTATATTGGTAACGAAAAAAAAATCCGTGGCCATGCAGTCCGGCTATCGAAACATATCAATAAAAGCCTTATAATAGTATATAGAAATATATTTTTTACTAATCTGGCAAAATCGATGGATATTTGCACACAAAATGATCTATCAGATGCTCCAATCCGTGTTGATCTCCTTTGAAAAATACTATTTCCTTAGCTTCTGAAGGTTTTACAATTATTACTATCACCTTTCACAACATACTGTGCTACTAAATAAGGAATCTCTTTCTGTGGTTTTGCAGTGAACATTATAACCTTTGGGAGATTGCAGATGTCGTAGATCCGCTGCAAATATTCGGCAGGAATTGGCAAGTTCATTCTGCAGCTTCTCTCGTTCTAAATTTGTATGAAATCAAGCTCTTTATTAAGCTTTACCCAAAAGTGGAGATGTAAAAACCCGTATGTGAGCAACGAATGACGTTTGGCAGAAAAAAATGTTTGCTCTTTAATTTCGCCAAACGTTAAGCTTAGTTTGACGTTGACGACTAGAGCGGGCAAATTATCTCCATGTGGGCAATGTAAATAGTGAAATCCCCTCCTATCAAAATCAATATTTTGTAAAATCTGTCTACATTAAAAGTAAAGGTTGCTTTTGATTTTCTAAAAATTAGGTGTACAATATGGCTATCTGTTCTCTGTAAATGTTTATAACATTTGTTTTGATGACCATCCAACGACTGATTCATAATGTTTATCAGAGGCATCGCATGGATTGATCACAATCCAACCAGGTCGCTCTGCAGCTGAATCGTTCTGGAAACGGCGCACTCATCGGCTCAGTCTCAAAATGCGACTACTTTTTTGCACGCTACTGCCATAGTCGGCATAGTGTAAAACTGCAAAGTACGACAATATCCACCATGGCCCTTTGAGATTTCAGAAGAACGCCGGTAAGTGAGGACCGCGAGGCTGAGGGTGAGTGCACGCTTGGTATAGCTGGGGGAGAACCGGTAGCCGGTGCCACTGTGCACTGTTGGTGACTTTAATATATCCATCGCTTTCCTTGTGCGCTTTTCGCATCCGCGTATTAGGGCAGAGGAGTAAAAAGACCGAAACGGTGGTCTAGAAGCAGTCGTCGGAAAGCTGGCACTACGCCAGCTCTCACAGAATGAGCCAACAGGGAGCAGACTATCATAAATCACTTTTTCGTCTCGTGTGCTTCTGAGGGCCCCTTGAGAGCCGACCTCCAGCAAGCGGTTCGACTGGCTGGAGCGCAACTGCGGCCTTCCCGCTTGACTGCTTCACTCGCAGGAAGCTAGAGAGTTGCTATGCTGTCGGTGCCTGTCGCCCAATGAAGGGGAAGCAAAGATCTCCGGAAGGCGGAACAGAAAAAGGAGCTAGCAGACGCGAAGGTTACGTTGGCGCCGCCGGTAACCCCCAAATAGCAGTGCTACCAATGGCAGCATCACCTCCATAACTTCGTTTCCATCTGCCATAGCCACCGCTATGAAGTGTCGCAAGTTGTCGCATAAATAAACAAAAGCGACGAAGCAATCCAACCCTGCACTTTCCCTGATATGTTCCGAGTTGCCCCCAACACGACGAAGCCTGTTCTGCCAGTCGAAGTCTGTTCCGCTGTTTTCTAGCCACTTCCGGCGGTTTCCGGTGCGGGCCCACGACAGCAAGAGGGCGGGTGGCCGGGTCGTCGGACGGGACGACAAGCCCAGCAAAGATGTATTATCGGTTTAAAGCAACCAGCACCAGCCGCCATCTAAAAGACCTGACGTCCTGTGGATATACCCACCAGTGTATGGGTCACCGCTGCTCCGTGTCAGACGACTTGTTTATCTAAACAGAAACAAACTATCAAGCCTCACGCTGAGGTCCCAACGAAAACAACCTTCATCAACGCGAAGCCAATATGATTTTACAATATGTAAAATCAGTTCTCATTGCGAGAAAAAATCGGCCGTGCGTTGCTCACGCTAAGCCAAGTTTGTACGGCACAAATGCAATCGTAGGAACTTTCATCCTGGTGTGAAAGTAGTATGCGAACTTTCACTTTATGTATAATGAAATTTGTTGCTAAAGGTCTTTTTGTTGTTAAAAGAGTTCGATGTAAATCAGTCTGTATAGGATGATCGCGATGCAGAGCTAAACCAATGCGTTCAACCGCGACGAAGGTTGCGCACAACGTACTCGAGTCACTACTACGGAAACAATCGGCTAAGAGGTTACTTGTTAGAACGAGTATGGGGAATTCGGACGCATCGAGGCAACTGTGCGAAAAAGTGTCCTTCCTATTCGCGTTTCTCTTTTCCCGAAAAGCTTCACCCGCGGGGTTCCCGGAAGAGCTTGGGTTTTGGGGGTTGTTCAGCTAGGCGAAGTGTGAATACCGCCGCCGGCCGCCACGACGGCAATCGTGTAAAATGCTCAATGCAGCTATTGCTAAAGTCAGGAGGTCTTCCCTGGTACAAAAATGCCTCTAAGTACGTGTATCTGATCATGGTTGTCTTTTTGTTCTCTCGAACTGCGGATGCCGAGTTTTGCGAACGATTTAAAGAATTATATTTTTTTTATAGTGTATATATAGCTTGAAAAATATCATCTCGGAGTCCTACCGCCGGATACGACTAAGCGGGATGCCTTGATCACACCTCTATTCAGGCTTATCGAAAGCGCATCCATAGTAGTACATGCATTGCTTAATTGAAGCCTTTTTAAATCAGGTACATTACTATTTGTAGCTTAGTTCTAGGACGAGTATCAGTCATATGTTGTTCTTATTTTGTATGTTTTATTAAATCACCACGCGGGACCAAAACTGCTTCAGCATTCAACATGGCTGCTTTGTTGTCTATAACGTATACACCTTCGTTTTGGGACACAGCCGCTATGCTTGACGATAGTATTAGGCGAAACATTTTCTATAAGTCTTACACAATACAAAGTTTCGTAATGTTATTAGGCTTTTCCCTGTTAAACCTCGTGAGCAGTACGTTTGATCAGTCCACTTTGTTCGTAGACAAACGTGTACATGTATCATTTCCGTAGCTTTATATGTAGCTTGAGGCTGAGGTTTCTCTGCATTATTTTTACGTCTTGGAAATCGTTGCATTATCCACTGGACTGCGGAGACTGTGAGCTGGGTATTTAGAAACATCGATTGCCAAAAGCTAGAATAGCATTTATTGAAAATTGTATTCAGTTCTGCCGTAGCAAAATATGCTGTTCTGTTTTACCTATGTAAAGCAAGCTTCGCTCCTGCAACTTGAACAAATCGTTTCAAAAAAAAATCGTGTCCTCCTGTAATCCGTCTAGTTCAGGTATCTTCTTCGCCCAGGATAAATAGTTAGACAGGATATTAAATATCAAGCATCGCTACAGATTCAGGTTTCCATCATGTCAGCAGAATGTCGGAACGGGCAGATAGTGAAAGACTAGAACAACGAGAAAATTTTATTCATAGACGGTACTGGGGGTCTAATTGCGAAAAGTCGGATATCTACAGCGACGCATTATTTGTATGTATAGGCTTGCAAGATGCTTACCGAAAATTTAAACATGGGAAGAACGCCTACATTGTTGCGACACTCTTAATGAATTTACCAGGAACTTTTAATGAATGAAACAGATCAAAAGAATGACGTCGACTAACCTGATGAAAATGAAGAAACTTACTGTATATTCTTATTTTGAATATGGCCATAGTTGTCAGACAATGACGCGGCCAGCTCGTTCTAAAAGTTTCCCCTACAGAACAGTGAACAGTCTGGGAGGATACGAGGCTAACAAGGGAAGTTTCACTGGCTAGAATCAACTAACTCACTAAAGCATTAGGCGAATGAAGTGAACTGCGCTAAAAAAGACAGAAGGATGTTATCTGAAAATTACGGTCACCACAAATGGTGGCTCTACTTTTGCGCGAATCAATTTTTTTCTCCGTAACTATATCGCCAAAGTGTTGGCCTAGAAAAATGCTGCCGGACAGAAAACGATACGGTAACGCACGTATTATGTCTTCCACTTACGTACAAATGTGTATCACAATAATTTGTTGGAAGGTTCACGTGGGGTAAATGGGTTATATCTGTAAAGGGAAGTTTTCTGTAAATTACGTTATGGGCATAAATGGAACAACCCTCCTTGTAATATCGTTAAATTCTTACGTTCTTGATAATTTTCCCAGGTTTGTCCCTCTTTCAGCATGATCGGTATGGCCTGCATTTGCACTTCCGGGAACTCCCGGTTGTCCGTGTTCACGCGATCGACTGCGCGCGCAAATACTTTAGATTCTACTTGACCAGTCTCTGCGCTGAATACACCGGCTGAAATATAGCAAGAATTCTATTAATATGTTTTTTTTTTCTGGACGAATTTGGAGCCCTTGCCGGAAAATTGGCCGGAGTGTCTTCCGGTCAATTTATATTGGATATAGAATACTATCAAAGCAACCAAATACTAGTAATAAATAGTTGACTTTTTGTCTTCTTTCAAGGACCAGAACCCTTCAGTACCGATTTTTCTCAATAGGCAATTGTGAATGCGGTTCACCGGAAACCTATAAACTAAGCATAAACATTAATTTGCTGACATCAGCTTAGCGCAGGAACGATTTAACTTTACTGAAACTAGTTGTTCTTACCTTAGGAGTGGCAAGTTTATGGTTCTAGCTAATTCTAGGCTCCTTTTTTCAGTCGCTATGCTCCGAAAAATTACCTCGCACATTGGCTGAATTTCGCTAACGCATTTTTTTGCGGTTACAAGCCTACGTGTTTTCGTCAAATAGTTTTTGTATTGAACACATTAGGCTATTAGCTAGCACATTATAATTACGCCTAGAGATAGTGTTTATTAACGGGAACAAATCAAAGCTTATCTTTTAAGGATCGTTCCACCAAAATACTGGAGCATTTACGATGAGTACACACATGTAGCTTTCGACAGAAAAAAAAAACCTAAAATTCACTTTGATAAGTTTAATAATGTTCCTGTTCCATCGATGACTTCAAGCTTTCTAATATACGGAACGCGAACTTCTATCAGACCCCTTCGACAACGCTTATTTCTACGCAAAACGCTAGCAACGGAGAGTCCAAACGCGGAACTAGGTTTACACATTATTAATGATATAAACACGACATAATAATGATAATTTAGTAAACGTATTAACAGTTGCTCTTAATAGGTTCGAATTTCGGGCTGCACGAAGGTAAATATATCTGCCGTGCCCATTTTGCCAATATTTCCAATTCGTTGGCCTGGAATACCGTAAACATGAAGGATTAAACATTTTTAAGAAACTATTGAACCACTCGAGTAATCGATACTGCGCTAGAACAGTACGTATTCGGTGTTTAGCACGTTGCGATTCGTGTTTAACTCACTGTGGGTTGTGTACGATACGAAGTTAATTAGTTTCATTCTACAATTGGCCCATCTATCGAGGCAAGACACTAACAACTTAACTCATCGACTTTATACTCATGCGTGTTGTATCCTTCACTCTTTACTTGTTACACGTTACTTGAACCACGTTGAAACAAATGCTGAAAAACTTACCAATCTTATAGGTGCCACCGTGCACTCCTGTTGAAAACGAGATGGATACAACAGTTACACTTGCTAACACTGCACACAGCCAAGTCATTTTGTCACTCTGTGTTCTTTCCCGAACGATAGTAGCTCAATTTAAAATGACCTCAACCTATTAAACAGCAATTTCCAAACATTATCGTACGATAAACAATATCTTCTTATGGAGACGGACACATAAGCACCGCTTACTGTGCTTCAACTTGCGGCGCTGTCTTTAGGCACAGTCAATTGAAGGAAATTATGCTTTGTCTGTTCTGAAGAGTTAAATAGCGGTTTGTTGACACTCGTGCAGGCCAAGTGGGCAGTGACTGGCGGTACAGACGAGTTCTTCTCAAGCTAAAAATAACCGGGTAGCCTAGGGCCAAGCAGAACACTGTGGACTGTGTGCGATGTCCAAGTACCGACCGTGACGATTCTAAACACGAAAAAGACTCTGATGTGAGGCAGCCCTCTTTACTGGCCACGGGGCTCTGGTTTTTGTCGCCGGTGGGTTATCGTTGCGTCGCTAGCCCGTCTACCCAACAGACGCTCGCTAGCACAAAATGTCGAGACACAGCAAGATACTAGCGAAAGAAGGTTCGATATTGACTATTTGAAAATAAGAATCAATTAAGAAGGGAAAGCTTGCGACAGATACATCGTCTTCGTTAGCAACTACAAAAAGACAAACACCTGCTTCTCGTTTATCAAACATTGAAAATTTATCGTACATGATCGCGTCACATAAATGCAAGCTCGGAATATCAATCGAGATTGTAAACTAAATGTTTTGATCACTTCTTGAAGCTGACTTATTTTTTCATGGGTGATCGAACGTGAAGACGCAAATCTCACGACGTCAAAAACAAAAGAAAAACTCTAAAATAGCGAAAAGTTGTTATTAGGAAATAAATTTCACATGTCGATATAAGTATTTTTCCTTTTAATCCACTTCCAGAGGGCAAATTAAAGAGATGCAAGCGGTCAGTTTACTTATATGGGAACTATGCCACTTTTAGTTAGTTAATGGCTTTCCAGGTGGCTATCCTTCAAAAGTGTGTGCCATTTCTTATATAAGACGTATCTGAATAAACAGTAAATATTTTAAGGGAATGGTAGAAGATAGCGAAACAAACATTTTTCCAGGAAAACTATGGACCATCGAGGCATGTTTTACAACTAAGAGACAATGATACGCCAATTAAAGCTTGCCCCAATAATTCGGTAGCCTCATCCTTCCAAGTAGAGGCACATGCAAATCAAAAAAATAAAAAGTTTTTAATTAATTCCATTTTGAAGTTAGCCATGATAAGTTAATCGTTTTTTTTTTTTACTACTTATGTCAAATCACCTAAATTTGATGGAGTAGCGAACAAAAACGACGGCCTTCTTTATACGTCCGTATATCTTCACTATCTAAATTGAAGTAATGATTCTTATATCCTTACACATATTTTAGTGAAGATTGCGCAAGTCTCCGCGTTGCCAAAAGGGATAATGTGGCACTGGTGTATATAAATCAGCACTTTACAGTAACGCATGCCTCGAAGTCTAATGGACCCTTGGAAAAATGTTCTCGTTTCTGAACTTGGTCCCGGTTCTTAACTGCGCACTATAAATTTCAGAACACGCTGTAGGTATTGCACCTAAACGTCAAACGTAAAAAAAATATGAATTATTTACACAAAACGATATCGGACATTTTCGCAATTTGTAGAACCTGACTACAATTTGCGGCTTATTTAAGTCTAGACAGATTAACAAGCAAGTCAATGTGCCAGTCGTATGAGTATGTTAGCAATGTATTCGACAAATGTCGGATTGTTCTGTTTACTAAAGCGTTCTATAATTCCAGTTTTTTTTTTTACCTGTGACGTGCCGAGTTTCCGTTAACTTACATTCGAAAGGTAGCGCAGTACCGTACCAAGAGCGGACAATATAAGAGACAGCTATAGTCGGTCTCTTGTATTTCATAAGAGTTTGCTTTCCCTGTTACCATTTGCGTAATTACAAACATGACCTGGCCTTTTTTTGCTAATCATGGGTCCATCGACCCTGAGGGGTTTTAGCCCTTACAAAAATAAGGTACACATTGCCTCAAAAAGCGCAAACGTAACGTTTTTCGAATAGGTAACTTGAATCATTCGAGCTGCCTTAATATAATTCCATTAATCTCACTAATTGGTAAATATCCGTTTTAGACGACTAGTTAGTAGAGCTATGTCCCAGGTCTTATGTTTAAACGTATTCAAAGACAGTTAATGGTTGAGTTCTAAGCGACGGTGTGTCCTATGTAATTTATGCTTAATCTTCTCTGTTAATTATTCCAAAACGCGAAGCCAATAAATTTACATTAATCCTGAACCGTACCAACCGTAAAAGTGCGTTAAGTATGAAAACCTGTTATGCACGCCATGATCACTGCCTCTTTTCTGGGCATTATATCCCACAGAGTGCAGGGACAGTGCGGTAACAATGTCACATTAACAGCTAAAAGTTTTATTAACAACGTTACACGAAATGGGACTAAATCACTGTTCCCGAGTGTTTCAATAAGCCAATGATGCAATCGATATTCCTCAACAACATGGTGCTTTTGTTCAGCTAATAGAAAGAAGGTTGGTTGAACCAAATTGATCCATCTCAATGGTAAACATTAGTATCGAATGAAGATAATTTTCAAAATAGGACTTGTGGTAGAGCTTTCAAGGTAGATCAGTCCCCCAGAAAAATCACAGTCTGGCTTTGCTGAAATCGTTTTCAAAATTAATTTCTTTTAATATTAGCTTTGTTCTTCAAGCTACACTTCAATGCGACATCTTATACGATACCTGCGATAAACACTTTGTATAGAGCCGGATATCAGTGACATGGGCGTGTTGACGGACGCGGTAATGAGCGGAAAAGCCTAGTAGGAAAAGATTTTTACAAGGTACGTTTGACTAGATGAGTTCGGAATACTATTTATACTTATCGATCATTAATCGAGTTGTGGTTTATTAGAGTTCAGCAAAGTACAATCACTGGCCAATCAATTAAGGCCACTTAGAAATTTCATAAATTATGAAGTACCATTAAAGATAGCTTCGTACCGAAACTAAAGATCGGCGTGCGTCCTTTTTATATGGAAGCTGCTTCTATTTATTATTCTAACTGTAGTGCATGCGACGACATGGATGCAGTTTTTAACCATTGTGGAAGAAGATGCACCTACGCTGGTCTATCACTTCTGGCTGTAACCATCGCTGCATGCTCGGCATGGTATGTTGAGTGCACTTACGCACCATGTCTATCGAGTTCTGGTTCTATACTTGCAACACGAGTTGTAAGACGTTCGTGATCTCCTGGCCATCCCCAACCTGCTACTTGACATAATGTCATACGTCTTCGATCGGATTCACGTTCAAACAAATTTTCAGATCACGGCGGAACATCAACACCATTACCGATAAGTGCCTAACTTACGACATAGTGACTGATCATGCATGAACACGTGGTTTTCATTCGGACAGTATTTTCACATCTGGAGCAGTTTGCTTTTAAATGATTTTATTGTATTATCGGTTTTTTTTTCAACAATTTCGCTGACGAAACATAGGTATATATTTCGTGGATGAACAACACAGTGTACACCATCGCTCTGCTCGGATGTTTTACTGCTACTGAATTACACAGAACTCGTCGACTTTTCACCAGAACGCCCGTAGACGTATTAAGCGTACACTACCTAAAATTTTGAAATCCGATTTATCCGTATAATACCTGTCATAGTCTTCAATTGGCCAACTTTGCAATTGTTTAGCTTAGGTGAAGAGCACATATTTGAGTTTGGCGCAAGTTTCTCGAACGCTTTACGACAGCTGGTCAGAGTGAACCGACATTTGGTACCTTCTCGTGCAGATGGGAAATGGTTACAGATCGCGTCCTCCTGTACCTCAATTAGAATAATCCTGTCCCCTTGATACGGCGTGAACCATTTTCGATTTTCTTTTTTTTTTCTTCTCTATTTTTGACAGAGACACTTTATAATTCACCTACTGAGCCACATTGTCAGCTGCATATTTAACCTTCCTACCCACTGAGTACATTCTATCCGTAATCGCTTTTCTTGTATAAACGTAATTATTAGAGTGTATTACTTTCTGTGAAATCTTTTCGTAAACCCATTACGAGCTCATGTACAGTCACGGAAGCATCAAAAATCAACAAAGTTTACTTTAAACTAATCTACGCTCACAATAGTCTTTGCCATCGACAAAATTAAAATAACAATCATTGCTGTATGCCATCTCAAATCATCTCTGTCTTCCTAAATGATTCAAATATTCGTATATGTTATTAGTGAACAGCCGTTGTACTACAAATTTCAATGAGCGGTTTTTATTACACAACAATTTAAAATGCTTCACCCGCGTCACTAGATGTCAAAAAGGCTATCATCGAAAAACAGAGGAACGCAGCTTTTACACAAAAAACGGCATGCAGATATTTAGTTTGAATCCGGCGATATCTTTGATTAAACTCAACACTATTTGAAATTCCCGGCTATCTTAATGTGATCGACCAATGACTATACATGAATTCGTTCGTTTCTGTTTTAATTGGAAACAAACAGCAGACAACAAATAGGCAGATATTAAACTGTTTTAGATTAATAGGCGCTATGATATTTTAAATAGTATCGACAATATCAATAATAGTTATGTTCAACCTTATTAAGAGAATCGAAACGAATCATCTATGTTTCACTATTCAGAAGCTACTGACTGCTAACGCAAACGTACATTAATAGCCCTTGTGTCCAAGCAAACAAAAACTCTTATCGTTTTTTTTTTCAATTTTATCGTTTATTTTCTAATTACTTAAAAAGGGCATTAAAAATTTAATAATAACAAAACAGAAGTGCATTAGTTATGTAAGATAGCGTCTTCAAGGTCATTGTCTTTGAGGGCGATTTTTTAATTTTACTGTTATTTATGTGTGGGCTTAATTTTAATTGCTTTCGATCAACTGCGGCCATATTAATAAATTTCTGTACCCAATATAAGCGAATATATTATTTTGCCTCAGAAGGCTTCTTTTACAGGTATTGTTCGAACAGGATATTTTAAGAACTTATCATCATAGTTCGTAATATTATTTCAAATGTATATAGCTAAAGGCAGCTGTGTTTGTCACCTGAGAAATGGGAAAAGAGGAATACCGCTGAAAAGTATGAGGTCTAAGCAGCATTTAAACACGCTTTGAGCGGTAGGGGAAGTTGTGTCAAGGTGCCCCCTATATAACCCGGTCAAGCCGGCCAACAAATGAGTCAAGAGAGGCATTACTACCAAATAGCTCTAATATCAAAGCCACATTAATTTTCGTGTTGAATATATGTTTGAGAGTGTAGATCAGTTTTTCTCACAGGGGAAAAACCTCTATTCTGATAAGCTATAAGGGAGCGTTCATAACGAGTTATGCTCTGTATTATTGAAAGTTCTATAAGTTGTTGACAGCTCTAGAAAATGGGTATTTCAAGACATTTTTTTATTTCATCGTTACGAAGTTTGTGAACAATAACATATTTACTATAGCTGCCAGCAGGTTTGCCAGTGCAAAGCGTCGGTGAATAGCGCAGAGTTAACGTGGTGGCCTTGTCAATGATAATATATTTGTAAGGGTAGGTTGCTTGTACTCACAAAATCATATTACGTAAGATTGACTTAGCGGACCTTAAGGAAGATTACGCTTGTGTGACTTAAACTGAACACGCTAAAGAATCAAAGGCGCCAAAATTCTTCAGTTTAATGTGACAAGTGTCATAACTAGCAGCCCCTATTTGGGTGAATTACCTTATCTTATGAAATGCTTAAATATAGAACCCCTTACAAGGCCATTCTGAAACAGAAACTTTTGTTTTACCGGGTCGTTCATTGTTGACTAAAGGAAATTTTGGGACATTATTTTTTAGAAATACTAACTGCACTGCTCGACTGCTGATGTAACTAACGCACTTTCGTTCCGACCGATGACTCTGCTATGCTATCAATTGTAGCAGGACTACTCTGTAAGACTTTACACACGCATATACAAGATTCTCTATATCCAAAGGGCATACCAAACGATACGTCTAACAACATGGAAACAACCAAACCTTTATACCTATCATCGCAGTGCTTCAAGCCGCATGTATCGACCACGTCTAGTTATTCCAATGTCCTCATTAAGCATATTGGTCGCGTGAAATTACTACGAATCCCTAGGCCTCCTGTAAATCCATTCTACGTACAAAAACGCCCTAAAGCAACAAAGTTCAATGGGGGTGGTGGGTAAGCCTAAATTGAACGTCGATACGCTATGAAGGGTGATGTAAAAAGGCAGATTAAATAGGTATGTCACGGATGGATTTTGTAGCTTGATATGAAATCAGCGCCATGAAGCCGCGCTCCTGGACGCTCAACGTGTCAGGTGTTATAGATGTGACGGACCCAGGCATCAGCAGAATATTGGTCGGTCCGAATGATCATCTTAATATTTGTCTACGTACTCAAGCACAATCGGGTTATTTTTGATGATCGCTATTTCCATTGCGTTACTTTGTGTTTCTAGCTTTGAAATTTACAGCCTATACTGCATAAATTTTGTGTATTTACCGCTACAGGACAGGCTTAAATGAGAGTTTGTCAGCTAAACAGGCATTTGCGAAACATCATCTACGAACAACAGTTTGTATTCACCCGGGTAAAGCATGTTACTATGAGGGCTATTCTTCTAGCACAACTATTTATTTTTTATCAATGCTTACAAACAACAAACAAATTATTGAGAAACAAATGGTTACCGTCGTTCGGCCCAAATCAATATCCTTGGGGTGAATTATCCTATAATCAAGCTAGCTTATTTATGCGTGTTTATACGTAGATAAATGTGGCCTTTGTTACAACTAATATCCGTTAGTAGATTATCGTAGCGGTATCTTACGAACAACGGCAAAATTTTCCGCCGCAACGGCTAATGATTACTGGTTTAGGCCCTGCTAAGATTCTGAGACATCGGTATACAAGCTTCGTATGAAATAAAAACTTTGGAAATAGCTATCAAAAAACCGTATCACTAAAGATAATGTATTACGCGAGCGATATTTACGGGCAAAACACTACGGACTTTGTTAGTTAAAAAAACCATCACTACTCCGATCTCGTTACTTCACCAGGCTCAAGTCGATAAGTGGAACCACATTTTGTAACGTTCTAATTGTATAGCGTTTTCATTTTGATGATCTGACAGTAACGCATTTTTCAGTTCACGTACTTTTAAGTGGATATACAGGACGTTACGATTTTCATAGAAGTTTCGCCCTCGAGGCGTTTACTCTGGACTACTGTTACTTAATGTATCCTAGCTATCATACTTGCGCCTCATCTGGAACCAATGAATTTACATTTATTTTCTTCATTGGTCGTCATAGTGTTTACGGTAAAGAACTAAATATAGAGGCAACGGAAACATGCTGAATACGTGAGTCGTCTCAAGAAAATTTAGTACAAAATGAGATGTGTTTCTGTGAAGTTTTTGTTTAGGTTTCTGACCGTAGAACTGTTGTGCAAGAAACGACAATGATTTAATAGTCTAACTTTTATTGGATTTTGCTTTCTAAATACACATCAGATCAACAACAAATGCATATATTTGCCGTTAGTCGACACACTCTGAGCATGACATTAGCCGTAATTAAAAGCTTTCAGTTCGATATTCAGGTAAGCAGTTGCTCCTCGACTTGATTACTTATTGACGGCAAAGGGTGCCGGAATCTTGACTGAGAAAATATACTATGTTTTAGAATAATTTATATTAAATTAAAAATAAATAAAAAAATATGCAATTATTTTAACATTCCTCCTTCTATATGCTCTCCGCGACCGTTTCGCCCTGCATTAGAGGGCAACACCGCGACTTGATGATTGAGCATGACATTCTCTCGCTGCCAAATATCCTTCACTGATATTCATAACCTTGCATTCAAGTGCCGTTACCTAACGCAATTAATTCTATAAATTCAGCTCAATACGTTTATTTAATCTCTCAGTTATTAATGACTAAACTGTTTCCTTGCTCTATTACTTTACCGCCTTTCTCTTCAGGCCTAGGAAGTACTCGATGGATTTGGTTGTCTAAGCTATTTCAGCCTACACTGAATGACCTGTTTAAATTAATTCTAACAATTATGTTTACCTACACAGCGCTAGGTTTACTGAAATGACTTCAATTAAATCGTGCTTACATTTTTTGCTATTACCCTCGTAAGTTACGACTTAATTATCAACATCGGCAGATTTCCTACTATAACCCAAATAAGTCCTATGGAATAATTGAAACGTGGCCAACTGGCTCTAGTACAGGGCGGATACTCATTCATTCATCCAAGAGTCAACGTTCTATCATAACTAAACGTTTTGTTCTTCCTTGAAATCAAAAAGCTTAGTGTTTTATATCTAATAGTATCATGTAACAGTAGATTCGCTAACACGACGAAGTATCTACAGTGCCCCGTATGCACACAGTGGTTAACCATTGCTGCAGTCTTTAACTATACCATGTGAAAGGTCCTGTTGTAGGATCAATATTTGACCTCGCTCGCTGGCCTGAAAATAGGTAAGACGGATGGAAAATGTGCAGGATTTCGACCGCGCTTAAGAGTTCCATCTGGATTCCGTAGAGGATATGTTGCCATCAGAATGGGTAATTGAAGTCGGATGTCCTTCTGTAAGCCCTTCAGAATGACAACGAACTGCGAAGGAACAAAGACAACTATTGGGTCCGTCATAGATAAAATAATGGAAGCTGAAAAAGGCAAGTATATTGAAATAGAAAAATTCAGTATATACTGTTCGTTTAAAAGGCGCATCTGTTTTGGCGTAGCTAGCATGTGTAAGAATCTGAAGTAATATAATTGGATACCTACGAAAACATCGTATTGAATACGGATGAGATGACATCCCCGAAGGTTCGTTGGCGGTAAAGGCGGTATATAGAGAAGCTCGTTGTCCCAATCGGAAATTTGACGGGGCTCGATCTTCCCTTTCTCAATAGTTGCCAGTTCGCGAATTTCCGTCGCAACGACCTGAAGTATCGGTAAAACGAGTTCTGTTATCCAGATCAAACTAGTATACTAGCTGTCGCACAATAAATGATAAACTAAATTGTCGTAATTTACTTCATTGACGAAGTTCCAGGTCCAAGACCGCATCAATGTGCCCAGCAAATTAAGAACCGGAGGCCCGGTGCTTCCGAGTTCCCGTGAGATTCGTCTTTTTCTTCATCTTCTTCTTCTACGAGAAAACTTCTCGTAGTGGAAGAGCGAAGCGACAGTACTAGTAACTGTGCTCGTAATACGTAAACACCTCATAGGCGTTAATAATTGTAATAGTTAACCATGTTGTCAACCGCAAAACACGTATCAACTCATTAATTAGGTAATTAAACGTAACTAACCAGCTTAATCAATAAACAAATTAGATTTTTACGCTTGAAAGAGGAATGCCACTACGGTCTCTTGTCTCCTATCATAGAAGACAAGCGAACAGCAACGAATGAATCATACCAGATTAGACGACGCATGGTGCGTATGACAACTCTCATATTGATTCACATTGAACTGCGCATTGACTCAGCTAAGGAGATTTTCGACACGATATTAATACTGATCTTGCATAAATAAAGTTCGGTATTCGTTATATTAAAATGAACCTTATTTTTGGCGGTGTACTGGATCGTCTCAGTTAGGATAGCTTTTGTTTTCTTGATAGCGACCCTCGACTGGTTGTTGATCGTAGCTTTCAAGCCGATGCTTTCACCAGGTACGTATCCCCCCTTGTCGAGACGAACTCGACAATTGATCATTCCCGTGGAAAAGCAGCCCTGGCCGACCTTTTCCTGCACTTCACAGTTGAATGGTTGCTGAAAACAAGTCAACACTCTTTCTCGCTAGTCGGTGACAATAGCCATAAATTAATTCTATCGTATATAGATATAACTATTATTATTTCCTTGCGGTAAAAAGGATGCACAAGAGTATACGTACGCACAATAGCTATCAGACATACTTGCGTCGACCGAAATATCATTGGCTATATCGAACGCCAACGGAAGCCTTGCTAGTAATAAAGCAGTCATTTTACAAATGATTAGATCTGATAACGAAAAATGATTGTAATGGACGTTCCATAATTGGGAAAGGACTTTGCAACTTGACATTTGGGCCGGTTAGAACTGATTTCTAATCGTTAGTAGATCATGCGGTCTACGGCTGTCTAGATGACCTAGCTACCTGCGTATAATGCCGGTTAATTTGAAGGGCAAAAAATCACAGCTTAAAAAGTCCTTGCCACTTGAAACAATATCTTTTCTCCGTTTTTTTTTGTTTTTTATGGATCAGGAGTAAACATATAAATTCTCAATCTTTGCAACAATTGTACGACGAACCGACCTACGATTTAACTCATACTAACGTAACACTGAACTCCACATTACATAAATCTCAATTATTTCGAAGGACACCGTTCTAGGGGCACATACTGATAACGACGTTAAACTACCCCGTATAACTGTTGATGCTGTTGCGGATGCGTTGGTCAAAATAGAGCTTTATCGTCGAATGAAAAATATGTGCGTCCTTGAAGCAATCTCGTTAGTGGCTATATTTTTTTCAAATTATAGCATAGAGGAATCGACATCGCTGAATAAATCAGACTTGTTTCATTTCCTATTACGATATAAAAACTTGGTAGCTCTGAAGGTATTGCCGTGATAAACAGCTGCCAGCCACAGTTAAGAACGTTACTGACTACCCAACAATGGCAATACGATATACACACCATCAAGTCACTGTAGTGGCGCTAGTTGAAACTTATATACTGTAGTGTTATCATGATAGAAAGGGGTGTGGCTACACAGGAGCCCTTCATCGGTAAACGAACTATTATAATGGGTGGAATGGGGACTCTTTTGCGGGCGGATGACACCATAAACACCGCCATACTATCGTACTACACTAAGGAAACGGCCATCATCGTAAAGTAAGGGCGTCGCCGTTATGACGCTGAGTGGTAATGCAAACGGAGGAAATGGGTGAGCAAAATGAGCTCCCATCCCTTTGATGTGCACTGTTTTCCACATACTCTTGTTGTTAACATTGCCGCGCTTTATGGGCATTAGTGCAACAGCGAGCGTGGTTGTTCTTAAACGTGCCATAAAGACCTTTACGTTGACTTAGGCAAGTAAGTAGTGGGGGGATATCAATATGCGGAAAGATTGTTTTGTCGCTCATATTGTTGATGGACGCTGAAAGTAAATGCAGACGCTGTAGATACGTAATAATCTATTCGAGGGTTGAATCGAAACTCGCTTAGCCACTTTACATGGAGAACAAGTTTAAAAAAAAACCGTGGATGAACCGTGGATTTATAAGATACGTCACTATAGGGAGATCTGCGCAAAATATTCCGTTATTTAATTTTGAGACGCATAAATTTCACCTTAGACCTGTAAATAACACGTTCATGAAGGCGGTAATCGTGCCCACGGCGTCCTTTTCCAGTGATATCCTTGTCTTAAATTACGTAAGTATAAGCATGGCTCGATCACGTCTTTGCTTATATCAATAATGTTATTTCTGTGATCATTGCTTCACATACTTTTGTCACGGACACAAACTAGATTAAAATCATTAACTTTTATAAGTTAGTGTTGTCCTACAGGAGAGTGGTCTAGTCCTTTATACTAGCCAAATATCTTTGCTTTCTTTAAACAGCTTCGTTCAATTGTTACTATACTCGCTATATTATTATATATTATAACTATTAGTTTAATCGGCGTTTCTTATTTCGGAAAATACCATTATAGGTGTCATTATGCAATTCCGAATAAACCCAGGATAGTGTCTTAAATAACGGCGCTGTCGCTGACGTCGGCATCCAATGCACAAAGGCACAGACGAACGTTAGCTATCTAGAAAAAAGGGGAGATAAATCTGTATACGAAGACGAAAGGTTTCCTGAGTACCGCGTATGTGCCCTAACATGAAATGGCCTCGGCGCTTCCATCAAAGCTGTCGTCACCGCACACTGTGTGTGAGAATGAAGCTGTCATAACGGTCTGAAAAATTTTCTAAAAAAAAATGGAAACCCGCTGACACATTATAGTACTTACTTAGATATACATATGTACATACAGACACTGATACTAACACAGATATTGCACAGTGAACGGCAGTCCCAAAAGGCTTTTGCTTTTCTATTAATTTTTCCCCAGCGAAAGAGAGCAGTTCTCAAAACCCAAACTCAAAAAGAAACAAAAAAAAAAAAAGAAAGCTCAAAACAAACTCAAAACAAGCAAATTAATTAGTACTGTTGATATTATATGTTGTGCAGGTGACGCGCAAAAGAGCTTTGACCTCTATGTGAACAAAGGGGACATGTTGTTAGCTAACTATTCAACTAATAATATAACTATGATTTTTTAAAATTGTGAGCAATTATCTAAAGGAGTGATAGCATGATTAAATAGAGAATCGGTTAAAAAATAAGGGTGACATCTCTGTATTATTGTCTAACTGCTGGGATAAGGATCAATGTTTGATTTTGAAGTTTCAGACATATATATCCACTGTATTTTTCCTTTTTTTTTTTTTTCAGGTATTCCTTATATCTGTGTTTGGTATAACTGCTAAGTTCTCTGTGTATTATTTGGTCTTTAAGTTTAATTATAAGCACGAAGAAGGATCTAATGGAGCATACTTCGGTATCCGAATAATGATTCAAGGAAAATGAGGCCATTCATAGTATTTTCTACAAATGTTGTATAAAATTAGAGAAATAATTTTAACGGATATTGTTCTTAGAATCGATTTTGCCGACAAAGTATGCGCAAAAAATAACATCTATGTTCTAATGAGTCTTAAGCCTGCATCAGCTTAAGAATATAAGCGGCGTTTCCGTTTTGTCCGTCACAAGAGCCGATGTCTTCACAAGCAGCATTCTACGCTGCGACTAGATACGATTTGCAACTGTTCTCGTAACGCAGGTGTTGCGTCGTTTCTGTGACTCTGATGAACAACACACGCCACCATTGTAGGGTCCGCCTGTCGACAATTGGTCAGGATTCGCCGTGTACAACGGTACTACGGCGAATCCTAATAAAGTAGCGAACACCATTTTGGCAGACCAGAATAGCCCAGGGTTACATCACGTCACGTCGGCTCTTTGGTATTCCGACACACACACTTCGTCGGCGCACCGAAGTGGCCACGGCGCTAAGGTAGCGCGCGTTCGTTTTCGACTGATCAGGTGACGACTAACTAACCGGTGAACGATGCCATCACCGTAGACGTCCGCTATTGTTAATAGTGTTTCCATTGCTGCTATGCCATTGCCTAGGCGGGACGCGCATCAGAAGCAGCAGCCGCAAGAGCAGATCCACCGCGGCCTCTGTTGCAAGCATAACTGAACATGATGAAAAAATTTACGTGAAGATATCGAGATAGAAAAGCAAAAGAAAAGGTTAATCCATCCAACCTTTTTAACTTGTGCTGCATCGCCAACGACAGGACAAAGAATAAACATATCTTTCTGATAGGGATAGGGCTACGCGTGGTGGTTCAATGGGAACAGCTACTTCTGGACCGCGGCAATGATCCGCTTTGTGGATTTGGACGCATCGAACGTTCTCAGTAGTCGGAAACTGAAACAATTGATGAACTATATTACAAATAAATTATGTTTTTCTTAATAAAATTGAGCAGAAATTACATGAGGTGCAGGAAGCGCCGCGTTATGGAGCTGGTATAGATGTCGACATCGCCATCACACAGAGATAACTGAGTGCTTACGCAAAAGAGTTTTGATTTGAGATTAACTAAATTAAAAACAGTTATATTACTAAGTGTCAACGTATTGTAGCCTTGGCTCATGCTATAAGTGCACCTATCGTCCTACAGCGTTGCTCAGCGCACGTAGTCTGAAGCAGATCAAGCAAACATTCGACGTTCTAATATATATATAGGCCATTTTCCAAAAATGCGATAATGCACTTGCATTGACGATGAGTTCACTTCTGGCAGACGCTCACTTTTAAGGATGCTCCAAAAGAGTGGCTTCTAGTAGTACCTATAATATAAACAGATTGCAGACAAACACTACAGATGAAGCAAAACGTCACATGTCTTCTTGTTTCTTCGATATAGCTGCGACAACAGCGGCTAAACCAGTATCACTGTCAAGATATTGACTTGGCTCGACTAAATTTAATCAATACCTAGTTTACCTCTTTACTTAAACCTTAACTTCCTAATTTGCATTTTTTTTTTGAAAATTTCAAATAGGTGCGGTGAATGCGTCTTGAGATATGTCTATTTTGGTCTCCAATATTATGGAAAATATTTTCCAATCAAGGTAATATTTAGATGAGTTGTTTCCAATTGAACACAGGTGCTCTAACAGCAAAATTATTTTTTTTGTTTGCAAGTAGATACTATTAACGTAAAGCATCTTAGCCGCATTACTGGTATAATTGTGCGGAAGTGGGGAGGTTCTGACCCCGCCCTGGTCATCTTAGATCGTCGTTATCACCCTCGACCGAATGTTTCTCTTTTTGACTTTGCCGTACGCTTGAACATGAGTAAATTTGCTATATAGATGTTTCAGTGTCACATAGCCACAAATGAGTAAGCATCATTTGCACGTAATGAAAATAGAGTACTCTGTGGCGCACTCGCGTATTCTACAACGCACTATGTATTGCGGCTCCAATCCTCGCTTTATTGAGATAAACTTGCCAGCAGTTCATAAACTATCGACCAACCCTGCTTGCATGTCCTGAGCGGTTAGGTCGACGAATTAATGCAAATGATAAGTCAATGAATATTAACCTAATACACGTACATATGCATTGAAAAATTTGTCATCTAGTGCGAAATCTCCAGATAATAGTGATTACCAAACCTAAATCAAGGTTGCGGATTCCAGTTCGTAAAGTATAGGCGACAAATCTAGAATCTTTGTAAAAGGTGCCCGGCAAATAGACACTCGCTGGCTTCGCTGTTTAAAAAATATTCGAATTAGAACGTCACTTCTGACACCAGATTGATAGACACACGAAAAAGCCTTGCTAGTTTTAGCTAAATCAAAAAAATTACCTTAAATGTTTTACTCCCTATACAGCCGTAGGCATTATTTCACATAGAAATGCTAGTCCAAATCTCTATCCTATTCGCCTAAAAGTCGACCCTGATATACGACAGTAAGCAATAATCTATATTATTTAGAATATCTGGACGATCTAAATATAGTGCCTGTTCAAAAACGTGCGTCTTTTTGTATGCGAAAAAAAAAATTTCTGCGGATCGTAATAACACATCGTTTCCCTATTTTATGTGATAATGACCTATCTTTAACCAGCTGGTCAAAATGTTGCCCTTTTCTGTACAAACAAAGCAATTACATTTTCGTTTTAGTCTCTGAAACTTTGCGTTGGGGCGCGAACGGGCTCGCTAACAGAAAAAGCTTTAGGCTCCATCCAGCCATTGCCACTACAGATAGCGTATTACGTTTTCTGTTTTAGCTAAACTATTTTTCGTATTACAGCCACCAGCAACTGCAGACAGCTAGTAATATGTGCTTTGTACAAATTCCTATAATGCAAAACAATAAAGAACTTTTCGTCCAAATAAAAATGCCAAGTGGTGCAAGAGCTTAAAGTACTTTAGGCCAACTCAACAATGCTCCCGTCCCTTTGCTAATATCTATGCTTCATGAAAACAAGAACGGGGTCGAACAACTAATCGCCATTTGAACTTCAATGCCGTAGGCCACAGTGATTTTAGCCCAGATACAGAATGAACCAACTTTCTAAAACTTCAAAAACTTGAGCTTAAAACGTACACACCTTTTTCGAAGCAGCCAAAAATTAAGCATTAGCCAGGTGAACTGCAAGGCTCAGTGCGTATGTATGGAATATTAGATAGGATGGGGGGGGGGGGGACTGTTATAGGAAAATTTAGAAAGAAGCCTTTTGAAAGTTGTCAGGTTTTTGCTAAACGGACGCGTTTGTTACTGCAATAATTCGTCAATTTTTGTATCGGATCTTAAATTAGCACCTTAATTGTCAAGAGATCTTTTCCTTGTCCTGTATATAGCGTATTCACTGTGTAGCTTTCAGAAAATGAATTTTCTTTATGCACACTTAGTCTACTATGTAGATCTTAAGTGTGAGTGTATCTAGCGAGTATAAGTACTTGCACACATCGAGGTTCAACCTAATCATACTTTTCCATGAACTATTGAATTTTTACCATGGATTTGGTCTTTTTTGTTGGACGTATATGATTCTTTAAGACGTATATGTCGTTTGCACAAAAAAAACGCCGGTTTGCAGTGGTACGAGATATATGGGCATTTGTTTTAGATGAATACATACAGCAACATATTATAAACGACTATAGTTCATCTGCTTGTTTATCTAACCCTACAGCCAAACGTGCTACGCTTATCATACACTGGCTATCCAGCGATTAAACATTTCGTCTTGAGGACTCTTAAGCATCAAAGCGCCGGTCGCAACAGCAACAAGGCCTTCTTGGCCCATTCAAGCGATTCTCAGCCTTAATAGAACCTCGCGTTAAGCTTTACTAACTGCGTGCACATTGTCTATACGTGCGTGGCGTAACTGTCCGTTGGACTGCCGTGCTATCAAACCCGCACAACTCTGTCCCGAACTGACGACAAAAGGTGCTTCGCCGATAGCGGACACAAAGAACAGTTCATGTCCGCCCCTTTTCCAACAACTTCCAGATACCTTCAATCGATCTGCACAGCCATTTCTCGAGGCATCGAGCGTTACTCCTTCTAAAGGTGCCGTGCAAACTGAGCCACCAATAGCTAATATCGAACTAGCATTACTCGGCGTATCTGGACGAAAATGAATTTTCGATTATGTATGAAACGTATTATAGTACGGAGGAAATATCATTTGCTGATAACGAAAACAAGGCTGCAGTAGTACGATTCATCGTAGATTATCGGACTCTTAGGACCGCAACGAATCGTATAGATACAATAAGCTATCGCTTACAACCACACGTCGCTCTATAGCAATTGCCCTTTCCTTTTGTTCCGAAGTAGATAAATGACTAAGCTTAGACCTTCGCACTCCTGCCAGTTTTCAATAAACGCTAATTTCAAAAAGGATGACCAAGTGCCATGTGGGCATATTTTGGCTCATTATAAATGCCACTCGGGAACCCAATGGCAGTTCAGCAGCCCTATGACTGTCTATTTTATGAACAATTGTTTCATACAGCCTATAATGTTTTTTATATTACAACAACTTGAAAATAGGATCTATTCGAAATTGAAGGGTTTGAGAAGCGATATTCCAAATGGTATGGGGTTCTGTTGAAAAATACATTAAGTCAAAAAAGGCTTACAATACAAAGCCAAGCGGCTAAAATACAGGGTAGGTCAAAAGCTACAAGAGAAATTGCGTGCGATTCAGTTTCTGCCTAGGCTGAATTGATTCAAAAAGACTGCTTTTTACTATAATAATTTCAAAGCTTTCTTAAGTCAAAAGGCGTTTATATTGAGCTGACTCAATTGACTGACAATGGTAATTTTGGTCGACTTACCGTGAGCAGACTTGGTTCAAGGTTAAGGTCGATAGGGCTCATGACTATAAACACCTGTTGGTTTTTGTGCGTCAGTCCACTTGGCTCTTTGAGAGCTGCTTTGCAGAAATACTGAACCCACCCATGTTTTCCCAGAAACGTTGATGGCATACCTGTAACGAACAGTAACATACAGTCAGTAACAATGTTGTGACAATGTGCTTGAAAACCTCACTTATCGCCTTTTCTTCGTGATGTGTCGAGCCTTTAAAGTTAAATCACGCGAATTATATTAGCGTTCCTATCCCGAGGGCCTCATCACGGCCGAGAGCACGGTCAGTAGAATAACTCTTTACGTACTGTTTACTGAGAGGGTTGTACGTTAGGGATCTTACCAAGTGGTAATCCAAGCTTGAAGGGAAAAGAGTGAACTCCTGGTGACAAGGCGACCGACTGTTTGGTGTTCTCTCCCAGGAGTCGCATTCGAAAATCGATGTAGTTCTCTTTATCCTGTTGATTGGCGTTTCCTGACATTTTGACGATGCCCTCGCCCACAATATGGAAGTATAGGCCTACAGAAACACAATGAGTTGCGGTGTTAGCTTTTTTAACGACTATCTGTTGGTGGACTAGGAAAGAGGTGCATATAGAGTAGGCGAAGGTCGGTTCGGAACCTTTTCATTCTGTCTATTTAAATATAACCGTGCGAATTACGCCGGCGAACCACTACTGCGCTTGATTCATTTGGACCTGCGTGACCCCGAAGCACCTAGAAAACACTGAAAAAATTTTACGAAGCAGGTGCATCAATAGCGTTGGATCTTGCCCTCCTGGTAAGACATCGTAGGTCGTTAGCTTTAGCGACCTTCTTGACAAAGATGTATGGGGCGCCTGGGCAGCAGAAGCTATTAGTACCCGTCAAAGGATCCACAGAGCGATTTTTTACACAAGGACATAGTTTATGAACTTCGCAAGAAAATAATTGTGGTGACAGTAACAGCATCATTAAGCTGTTAGCAACGAGCACGCGTCACGAAAGAGTGAAAGTGGAATGAAGGACACAGGAGCAAAGTATCGCTGATTGCACAATACTTTATATAAATTGGATATCATAAAGGTCGAAGAGAAGTACATAGCTCTTTCGGCAATTACTTGTTCAGTACAGCAGCTATGATTGTGTGTACGAGTCTCTCGTACCGTGCAGCAATGAGGCCATAGGAAAAGGCTACGTTCAGAAAATATCTATGTACTGAAATACTGCTATTCAGTGTAATGGAGTATCATAATGGAGTGACAGTTATGCTTTACATAATACTGTTGAAGGAGGATTACCTGGAATTATAAACTTGAGAATCTTGCCCGACGAAATTGAATCTAAAGAAAAAAATAGTTTTCAAAAAACGAAAAATATTCGTTCGGCAGATTTCGCAAGAATTAACCTCCTATCTTTTACAAGGTGTTGGACTTGACTTGAAGAACGTAAAAACAATATGTACTGTTATGTATGAATAAGATAATTAAATTTACAGCACCGTGCGTTGTGTCACAAAGTCAAATCACTTTTGAATTAATTCCCATTCATTAGACGTACATTGATCGTCAGTAAGGTTGTCGGTCGTCCATTGCATTTTCAAAGGTTTTGAAAGACCTTCAAGAGGCCTTAAGACAAATGATATAATTTTTATACATAGCAACGTGGCGCATTATGCAGAAAGAGGCTTTCGTCAAAAAGACTCGCTATTGGCCAGGCTATATTCGTACACGACGAATCGTACGAGTGCTTTCAGTTCTACGCTTTTTTTAAACGATTGCTAGTAGAATTAGCTAATTCATTATTATTATTGTTCCACAGTTATTATTGCTACAGAGCTATTAGATGTATGGCTTCTTCGTTCGGAACAAAAGTCCGTTGAAGTTCCTTTTTTTCGGTATCGCAGAAAATCTTATCACTTCATATTTGGCCGCCGAATGGCAGGCCTTTAGTGATGTTAGCTTCACAAAAAGATTGCCATTGGTTTCACTAATGAAATTAAGCCGGAAGCCGTTCGATTAGTTGAACAAGAAACATTTGATGTGCTTTCCTGTCCAGGTTCATACTAGAAAGATACTGCAGCGAATACGTTTGATCGAATGCCGTGCTGCCTTCCAGCACCCATCCGTGTAGATCTGCACGAAGCAATCTGGTGCCCAAAACTTTTATGTTTTTTTTGTCTGAGCCGATTCTGTTCCCTTGATACTGATGAAATGGAATCAATGAGTGAAGGATATGCCTCGACAAGCGTTGCCGCTACAGGTCACGGCTTATAGAAGTGAACTATTTGCACTCAAGTAAAAAAAAAAAGTCGAAAAATTAATTTTTTTTTAATCGGATTACCACAGGTAACTAGAATCGAATTCAACGGGTCAACTAAATGAAGCAAAGCTACTAGGGACCAATCGGTGAGTCAGGCCTGGCACATACAAAGTAAAAAGCAACAACAAGGAAACGCCATATGTGTAGTGTTGGTGGGCCACTGAAGACATCATTCCGTATAGATCCTCGCTGCATGGCGAAAAACCTACTTTGCACTGCTGGAAAGGATTCCAACTGCGTTGCACCAATAAAGGCTTAGTCTCCTCTCGAGAAGGAACGGCGTCATTCTTTGGCAAGATAACGCCACGGTGACATGGAAGCTTTTGCCACGCCCACCGTATTCAACGCATATCGCTCCTGCCACTCTTGAATCTGTAAAATACTATTGACCACCAGCTTTTGCAAGACAACAGTGGTTATACCTTGATTTTTCAAGTGCCTAGACGAAACTTGCTACGAACACAGGGTTCCTATTTTTGCCTGATCGGTGGCGGTAACATGTATCTGCTACAGGTAGCTATTTTGCTTAAGAAAGAATCTATTGTGTAGAATTTATTGAGCTATACGCCATACAGAAAGCTGTCGTTCTTATCCAACACTGCGCTAATTGGTAATGATTTAGAGGGCGCAGTCAACTTGCAAGTCGATCTTAGTTCGGACATCTTTGCTATCAAGATAAATGCATGTAGTAGTGCCACAGCTGCCCAAAGATCCTTACAAAAATAACGGAAGCAGAAGTATGGACACGTTTCATCCAAAGAAAGATAATCTACCTCTCTGCTCATCAAGTCCGATTAAATATCAAGCAGTTTAAACAATCTAAATCACTTTACGCTTGGTTCTGCTGAACCATCATAGTATTTGTGCTATGCAGCGGCGTATTTTCTTTTTTGCATAGTTATGAATAATGGTCATTTTCTGTTGCCATTATAATGTTTTACCCACAGATAGTCATAAGTATAACATACAATCTGTGTGAGCGCCAGGGCCATATTAGAGATATCTATCAGCAAGAGATATATGTATATATTTCTTATGCAGTGTTGATGTTATCCAATTATTGGAATGATACGACATCACAGAAGCCGTACTTTGCTCCATCTTGCTGCAATTGCCGATAGAGTAACCCTGACCCAACCCAGTTAGAAAAACCGACTAGATTCTGGCAATCACGAACAGAAGCACAGTAATATATATTCACGCTTATATGTATGGGTAACTTCGTATTATGAAAACATCGGCCGTATGCTACCCGTATGAAAGCATTATAACAAAACTGACAGCGACGAGATAATAGATACTCAGTGTTGTACATATAAACTGAATGGTCCTCGGGCATTCGTACGTATTAACTTCACGTATATAAACGGCTATAAAAATAGCGAGCCCACATTTGAAACCGCTCTTTTGTCTGTGGTCTGTCAACAATTTAATCATTGTTCTGATAATCAACAACAACGTAAACTGTGTAGTTGACGGCTGGTTAAGGTTCCCGTCATTTTCAACCGTTGTCTTGCTGGGAAAAGTTATCAAAAAAATCGTCTTTTTATAAAGAATTATCCTGTGCGTTAGACAGAGTAACGAAAAATTGCTTCGACACGCAGACAAGCTATCCAATAAATTTTCACACCCGTTGCGGAAAGTTGTATCAAGCAATCTAAGGAAATCTCATGAATATAGTATGAATCCCACGATTTTTCGTTACAAAGTAAACCTATTATGTGCAACTTAATAAACGGTACGATTCCCTGTCAAGCAGTTCTCTTACGGTCAGATACGGAGAGAACTTACGGTCAGATAAGAAATTTTTACTACAACTCGAACACCACTCAGTATATATTGTCAGCTTATAGCGTTTTTGAATGCCTTTTCACCTGCTATGGCAGCCTTTTAGCTCCGCTGGAGGACTGAGGTGGCCTTAAAGCCTCTTGATAACTTTTTCACTTAAGGCAACAAGCTGTGTTGCATTAAATTTACGAAATTTCAACAAAACGTGGAATTGATCCGCTTGCATGTCACGTATGCAATTGGATGTTGCCTCATCTGAGAAGATCTTTTTCGGTGTTTACATGCTCATTTGGTAAAGACACCCGGAGGCTCATGTCCATGGTCATCGTTTCGAAGATTTACTTCGTGCTCCGCGGAACGTTGCGTGGTATCGTATGCGTAAAGCTAATGTGTCATACGAAAACTACACAAAAGCGTAATTCTACATAAATTCTTGCACTACAAGTCATGCACATTGTGCTTAGCCAGTCGCCAAAAAGGAAACAGTTGTTTAATCGTGTACGAAAAACACGATTCACGAACATCTGCTCAGTGCCGAAATAAGTTGAGCGTATCTTTGAGAACGATGAAACTCTTAATGTGAGACGATGAGGAAGCTTATCTAGCCCAGGACCTGTATTTTGTACGGCGCTTTGATAGTTCATTAGACGCAACGTAAGTTATATGAGAAACGCTTATCATATACAAACGGCGAATCTACTCCAAAAGCCGGCCCGATAACAAAAAGCGCCAATGTATTGTTCTAATGAGTTCTGTAAGTGGCGATTTGACCCGACTGACATTTCCAATGAGACGGCAATCTAATTTGAATTTATTTACAAAAAGTCATGCTATGTTGACTCCTTTTCTCGCTGCGACACGTCTACCAGATAACCGCCCGTATGATGAGCTATGATAACGTGAAATATTTCACCGTTCGAGCATGTCGCTGGTTCGAGAGAACTTCTCCATCTCCGATAGTTGCCCAAAGCCAAGCCCTACCACATCGTAGTGTATAACATAGTATATTTTATTACTGCGGAATACTCACTGCGGACTATGGAATAGATGTGCCCACTCCATTATTGTCTTTTACATTTGTGATTCATGAGTCATCTTGGTGACACTGGGTCATCTGTGGTAACGCCAATTACCATGCCATTACGCTTCAATGTTGCAGGGCAGCCTGTACTCGGTTCGTTGTTACTCGGCCAGTTCGAACATAGCATAGTTAATCCATTGCTGTTCATTGACCGCATCCTTATTTGGCCGCCATATCAACGCTGCCATACGGTCGAGCGTGGTGGCAGTCTAATTCTACCGCGTAGAGCTACGCTGAACGCCGAACGCCGACGATACCCACGGCCGCGAGTGGGTGGAAACCAACAGCTTTGATCTTTACAGAGAAATGAAGTCTAGCGACAAAGTCAATTTATCCATTTCACGATTTCAGCTCATTCGCCGATCGATTGATTCCACGCCAATGACTCGCTAGTCTGGGTCCGTCGACAGTAAGTCGAGCGAAAGAGAGAGGTTTGAAAAAGTTTTTCTGTTTCTCCTTGAATAGAGCAGAAGAGGTTAATTGTCGACAAAAGGATTCCTTTGGGTGTTCGCTACTGCAGGTGCTTGTTTTTTCGCGGCCCAACCGGCAGTTCGGTAATAATATGACGATACGTTCGGTGATCTTTTTCGATCTGTAGGACACTAGCGTACAAGAGCTGTAATAGAACAGCCGCTCTGTTACCAAGGTGCGGTGTTGGATTAACAAAAAAGAGCCACATATTAAGGCTAAGTTTACGCGAAACCAAAGAAAATCCTACAATTGGGTGATGGTGCACACCCGATAAATGACCTTTCGGGAATCTCAATGCTGTTGCAACGATTTTTCACATCCTGAATGCTTAATAATGGTGTACGGGTGAGAATTCTGCATAAAATTATGCTACTAATACTTGGCTATACTTCAGTCGGAAGTGGCGCTGTAAATGGAAATATCGTACGTGGCCAATTGCAAATTTGTCCGCCAACAGCATCCCGGCGTAGGTATTGGCGTTACCTCAACGTACGTCAGTGATATCAAGGCTATCGGTGAACACCGGTATAATAGGCAACTCATCAGCTGTTCAAACATTTTGTGACGTCTGACACTTCTTACCAATACACTGCGCTACGGCACACTTCATTTCAACAACATTAGCCAGCTGGTCAAAATCACAAGATCTGTCGCATGTGGTACGTTTTATAGTGGAAATTTTTAAGTTACTTTTACTTCCATTACGCTAAGTTTAAGTCCGCTTTGGGTTACGACACAGCGCGGACGGGAACGCGCGGTGCCGCGATGAGACGAAAAGCATTTCCGCTCCATAACAAACTGACGAAGGACTTTTATTCTGTATAGTTTATAGCCATCTGTCCTTTACATGCGTGTATCGGTAAGGCGGGCTAGCTGACGAGGCGAGCATCATAACTCGACACGACTATTGTAATAGCGGTTAATGGCCCTCGGCGTTGACGCTCTCGTGGGTGATACGATGCGTTCGCTGCTCGTACATCGTGACTACGACTCCGAGGCGAAGTACGTACGTCTACAGCAGAGCGAATCGTCAAAAACACAAAGTAGAGATTGTACCCTTGAGTATTCGCGTCCACAGTGATACCTCTGAGGCTAGATGCCCTTCATTGTTACGCCCACCAAATCGTTTTGCTATTGGCCCAGATAGATTTATGGCAGCGGAAAGATGATTGGGTAATAGGAACGGCCACGGCGGTAACAACGATGTCGGACAACAACGAGCCAATAGTAGTAATTAGCTATTATCGGGCAAAAACGGTACATTCAAAAATCAACGACCAGGTTCAACCGTTAGAGCTGAAGTACACAGGGCAATCGCAGCCGTTGCAGACATTAATGTACAGAACGTCGACGAACAGATGCGGTCTCGAACTGAGACTGTACGAGAAAATGTATAGTAAATGAGTTGATCAGTGACGTCCTGAGAAAGCGAGACCCGCTCCTAATCATCTAAAATTTGCAGCTAACTAAAGTGCGTCAACGAACAATCTTCTGGGTAGGTTACCTAAAAGCTAGTTTGCCCTATACAAATGGTCAGATAGGAAGGCTTTTGACTGAGGATGGATGTTGTTACAGCAGCAAGAATCTCAGTAAGATTAGAATTAGAATTAAGATAAACATAACTTCAACTGAACAAAGATACATGATGATTCAGGGATACTGCTCAGTGTTTCTACACTGTCGTCAGTGACGACCAAAGCGAGAAAAAGTAAACAGAGTTTGATGTAGTGTAGCAGACGTAATCTAGCTGAATAATGTGCTTCTTTCAAATTCAAACAGACTAGAAAAAAACCTCACCGACTCTATTCTCGTTTCTAATCGATCCATTATTTTAGTCAAGTTGATATTGACCGGAAGCCATTTTGTCGGGCGATGCATTGATTCCCAGAAAGCGGCGTTAATTCTACTACTACAATACCGATCTAGTCGTTAGTCGATGTTGCTTCAAGCGAAGTTACCCGTTGTATGGACGTGCAGAACTTTCTAGTTACGCAACTACCCTCCGTCCACCATTTATCTGTGACTGTCAGATTAACGACACCAAATGAGAATGTCTCAGGACGCAAGGGAAATAAATCTAGTCATTTTCTAGCTTTTCCGCCCGTAATGCGTTTCGGTTATCAAACGGCGACAGCTACTACCAACACGGCAACAGTCGACGTTACATCCTGTCTTAGCGTAGTCAGCTCGCGGCGTACTGCTAAACGTTTAGCAACAGACAAAATGCTCCGTAACGCCTAAAAAGAACAATAACTATTCATAGTTAAAAAAAAATCACCTCGTCATATATAGTTATTCATTATGACGGCCACAAGCGTCTAATCGTCTATGATGATCCTCTGCGACTTTTTTCGTGCATATGAAAATTATTTTAGCCTTGAAGGCCGTGCCTTGAGTCAGGCCATAGCCACTATACTTCGTACACATTCGATTCCAGAATATCTCACGTCGAACGATGTTGCTCCACCATTGCGTCGACGTGTGTATGAAGATTCATTGATCGCGCCTGCTCCGCGCGGCAAGCCACTTCTGCCGACGGAAACGATTCGTGTCGCCGACGACTATTTACAGCATATAGATTAAATGTAAAAATAATAAATATATACTTACAGACGAATACCGAAACGTATTATTATAAATGTGCGCACTGGTTTGGGTGATAGGAGTGCTAACATCTACGGATGGAAGATGTAAACAACGGTCAAACATGCATCCAATGCTATGCATGAAGTAAGTTATCAGCTTGATACAAAAGGAGAGGTTATCAAATTAAATCACGTGAAAATATCTCAGCTTGCTATTTGTTTCATGCAATGCCGTTTAGGCTAAGTTTGAAGAACATTACGTAAGCGAACTGTTCGCGGGGCGTTTGAAAGGAAAGATCTATTTTAAAGCAGGGTTCGACATCAGATGTTCGAACGGACACACTGACATGCAAAGCGAAAAATCTTTTTGCGTGACAAACCATTGGATGAAGTAATAGCAAAGCATTTACGTCATCGCTCCCCAACGAGTTATCTGTTACGTATACTGATAAGTTACTACGCTTGCTGATGTCCGTATGGCTACAGGACAGGGGTGAAATGTATCAGGGCAGAATTATGGTCAATGTCACAAGAAGCTAGAGCTGAAACTATTGCCCACAATCCACTGGGTATAGAGCGTAATTTTGTATAGTGCTACTCTTCCCATAGATTTTGCGTATCCTCTGCAAGTATTCTTGCATGCGATACGGTAGCAAGTTAAGCTTCAATGCATGAGACGAACTTGAGGCCAGATTTCGAATGGATTCAAAAGTTTTTAATTCAATATTGTGTGTATACGATTTATAGTGATCGAGCGTACGTCGGAATCGTGCAATAAGGGTGTCTCCGCCTCGTGAGATTATTTGCATACCCTCTGAGCGTCAGACAGTCCACTTCCGTTCATATGCATATGCGTTTGCCAGATTCGTACCTTGTACAGGGGTGTCATCGTCGAGCTCGACGATTACCTGCCCGGTGAGAAAAGAGCCTGGAAAATACAGAAGACTCTCGTTGTCTAGCACAATCAAGAACTTGGCCAACTTGCGGTTCGACATCTTCGATAGTGGGTCGAAGCCTCGGCCGGTCGTGTAAACGAAGACAAAAGGTCAATGCTTCTTTGTTTTTTCGACCCTTCTATTATCTCACTTATAATCGCACGTCATCAACGTTCATATCAATCGATCGTTGTTTGGTGGTGCCACACCTTCGATTGCATCGGTTTTCATCTTCCGTAGTCCAGGGATTATATGGTTAACGACACCGAAGCAGATCAACGACGACACAGTAATATCCCAGTATATTCAGTATTAGAGAAAAAAAAACGTCGAAGTTTAAGTCTTTCACCTGTTTACGAATTTGCCGATTGTAGCCAGCTGGTTATCACAGATCTTTGTTCAGTGTATAGTATGTTTTTTGGCTGCACTTGAGAAACCGCAACAATTTCCATAGGGCATAATCTCGACGGAGCTAACAACGTAAGTTCGGTTTTTTTGTGAGGGAATAGTGCTGGCACGCTACGAAAAGATACCGTACAGGAATTGGTACCAGTTTGTGATCACTTCTTCTTCGACTTCATGAACTTCAGCCCGATCACTGCGCAACTGACTTTCCGCTCGCGGTTAGGGCAGACTCGGCTTAGATCCGTACCAAATAGATCGACTCAGAAGCAAAACTACTAAGTATTATTTGCTATACTATCTGCCTTCGATCACCATATACGGGTGCGCGCATGGTCGCCGCTCTCTGTCGTCAGCGAGCCTAATTGTACTGCTCTGCGCTATGCCGTCCTCGTCCTCACCATAATTTCCGACAACGACAACGTCCGTCGAATCTGAAAAGCCTAGTAGACCACAGTCGCTTCAATAGACAGACAACAGATAAACTTCAGTTTGTCAGCTGCTCGCGCGCGGATCTGCTTCTGGCGGAGCGGAAACCATCGCACTAGAGACAGTTCAGCCGCTGTCTTTGCTGCTGCGGTTGTTGATGATGATGATAGAAGTCGCTGTTCCGAAGTCGTCTCGCTGGCGATGCGATACAACCCGCGCGCACTGCGGTGGGACTTCGCGCAATCGGGGAGAGGGTGGCCGCACGCTCACGCGCATCGGCAGCGGACGCAACCGATGGGAGAGCTGAAGAGCCGATGCGCAAAGATCTGAAGTCTTCCTACGCAGGAAAGTGGCCGTGACGTTTTTGCCGGTGACGGAATGGCGGCACAGTCAAACGCAAAAAAATACATACGGCGAAGGCGCTATGACGAAGCATCGTTGCCAATGATCACCGAATACGAGTCGACACGGACAGAACACACGATTAAATGAGTTGGCCGGGGACGGAAGGCGGAAGACAGAGACAAATGAGATAGAACAGGCATTCTATCTAAAGGACTTAACAATCTGTCGGAAGCTCGTGCGTGAGCCACACACACACACACACACACACACACACACACACACACACACACACACACACACACACACACACACACACACACACACACACACACACACACACACACACACACACACACACACACACACAGCCTCACACCCATACACACACGCAACGACAAGAAATACAAGCTCAAAGTTAGCAAAGCAAACAACCAGAAAATCGACTAAGACAAAAAGGTATCAGAATTTACGAATCAAGCATGTTAGCACGCAAGTACTTATGTACATGTATAGACTATTCGTCGAGCAATAGCCGATATGAGCATTTATAAAAGTTGTTTCAAGCGTTCAGTATAGAAGCACATGCTCATTTAGCAATCACACATAACCTAAGGGGCGTTATGCGTTTGACGAAAACAACTCGATGTAATACAGTCCTATAGTGTAACCTACGTCTATATTCTATATAATTATGTTCGGTATATATAATGATCATTACTAATAAAGTTGCGAGAGGCTAAAAAAGAAACAAAAAATAATATAAGTAAGTATAAAAATATCATAAGTTATTAATTCCCAGTAAAAGAAAACATTAACCATTCTTGTGCAACTACGGTCATTGCCACCTGTAACAAAGCTTAACAAAGTGTTATAGCTTAAAAAAGAGCCATTTCTGTTATGTTCTTTATCCTATAAAATTAAGTCGATTAGGAAGTCCTACTACTGGATGCCAGCTTCGATGTATTCTATATTTCTCGATGAAGTAATCGTAATTACTTCCCTAATGGAAATTCTCGTTCCATAACATTTATCAGGAACTTCATAACTTACCATGCATGGTAATCCTAGCCCTGAGAATTGCAAAATCTGACTAACTTCACTGAAATTGACAATTGAGAAAAGATGGACAGTCATTGGGGTCGAAAGAACATATTCATTGGATTAGACCATGGTACTTTACCATGGTCGTTGATGGCGTGGAGCAACAAATTTTTTTCATTTGTAATTAACATAATATAAACAAGAATATAATTTTGCACAATCTGCTGTTAATAAACTGTGTCTGGCTGTACAGTTCTAATCTCGGTCAATCAACTATTTATTTCTAGTACTTTCATTATTCTGCACATTATACACTGCACAAAAGCCTACGTTGCGTACACAATTCAGCTGGGTTTTTTTGGCGCAGTTTTATTTTGAGAACAGCTAGATCAGTTCGGGACGTGAGATATAGATCTATAAAGGTATCACGTTTTTTTATCACTAACTTTTTTTTCAGGAAAACTATTGTTTGAGATATAATGTCAAGCTAGTCCTTAAAAACGAAAACGTACGTGTTCGGTTCCCTGAAACCTGAAATAGCTCAAGATAGAATTCCTAAGTTGAAGGCAATCCCCGATTTGTTATTCTGCTTGTCCAAACGGCGCATTTTTAAAGTGAAACAACAATATAACAATAATTGAGTGCCTTTCTCGTTTACGCGTAAACTAGTTTTTACATACGACTTCGCGCACTCTGGAAAACAGGCCATATATAGGCTACATGTATTTCGCTCAGTTAAACTTTGTCCTTGGGGAGACCTTTGTTTGTCAAAGAAACTCCTCTTTGCTTTCCTAGAACCAGTGAATTATTTCAGCAGTATTTCATCCCCGGTAGTACAGAACAAGTCACCGTTAAATCCCTAATTTGTACCGATGAAGCGGGTCACTTCTGTGTGACTGGCAATACATTTTTTCGTTAGAGCCTTTTTCACGTCTAAACGTATCATTGTTTTGCAGTGCACTTCAGCACAATCTAAATACAATTCCGCTGAAAAACATTCAAAGTAAGCACAAAAGATGGTAACACACAAGGTATTTAGGGCTAACGATCGAAGCAAAATTTGTATTTGCTATGAGAACGTCTTCTCATACTTGCTTAGTTAGCTACCCATTCACGAACGTATTTATATGTATATGTATAATAAATTTTCGGCAAGCTCAGTAATTTGGTTTTTATTACATCATCGCTTATCGGGCCAATTATTCTGAAAGTGGTATTTGCGCGAGATGTTTTGAGGAGTTGTTCAATGGTATAGAGTGACAAAAAGCATCTAGCGAATGACAAAGCCAAAAGGAATTTTAGTCTGACCTAATGAATAGGTGGTTCAAGTGCGCTGCTTTTACGATAAGTTGTCTTTTAAGGTGAACGACGCGTTAGAAAATTACACAACTTTAGTCGTTAATGAAGACTATAAAGTTTCATAACTTTAGCCATCCTATAAAACTCCGCAGCTCACTGCGTATTCTGTACATGTGTATAGATGCCCAGCAGATTATGCGAACATACAAGGGTACGATCCCCGCGCTGATGTCAATGATTAAAAACCTTGTAACTGCGAAAGTTACAATTTCAAAACTGCCCGTAGACGTAGCTAGCCTTTGTGGACATTCACCATTCTTATGTAGATTTAGTGCAGCGAACCTTTTAATTGAGTAAAAAATGAAGCAATAATAGCGAAAAGGATTTAATTTACTTTAATTGTACGCTCAGTGGTAGAGCCGGTGCGATGTCCATATCTTTTTCATCAATCGGGAGTTCACGATTTCAGATGTGAATCTAACAATCATTTAAAGGAATCCTTCTCTGCGTTGGCCCGTAGATGCTAACTTATAAACTAGTAGCAAAAGCCTGATAGCTATTAAATGTTTGAGTACTAGATTCTGTACGTTGAGGCAGTAGTAGCTATTTTTTTTACCTACAAATAAATGCAGCTTTAGCTCTTGAAAATAATAAAGGACGTCGTCTTGATCTACTTCTCGATGCCAAATCCAGCCAAATGTTCTTCCCTAAAAAAACAAATACGACTGTTTCTGTAGTACAACGTCACATTTTATCTACACATTTTATAGCTATATACAAAGTAGTTTTCCTTTCCTAGCTTCCTAGGCCTTGTGCCATCCATGGTGACCGTGGCTATGGATGTGAATCGGCACGGGTTTCTTGATAGGGATAGGAATCTCCTTGACTACGGGAATTTCAACAGGATAGGGCTTCTTCACGGGTACTGGATAAGGCTTGTGAACAGGAACAACGTACGGTTTGGGTATCTTAACTGGGAGAGGCACGTGGTAGGGTTTTTCTACAACATAGGGTTTCGGCACGTGTACAACGTACGGCTTGGGTACCTTAACGACGTGATGGACCGGGTAGGGTTTCTTGACTTCAACTGGAACTGGTACAGGCACTTCCTTTGGGACGGGAACCTCCTTGTGAACCGGGTAATGTTGAGTGATTACATGTGGCACCGGATAAGGCTTAGGCACAGGAACCGGCTTGTACACAGGCACCGGTTTTTTTACAGGAACCACGTAAGGCGCAGGTACTGGATGCGGCACTGGCACAGGTTTGGGAATAGTCTTAACGACGTAGTTTACTTTGGGGACATGATGATGTCCGTGGCCATAGCCACCTCCTCCGTACTCTCCTCCAAAGTCTTCGGCGTAACCACCCTCGAGTTCTCCACCAGAGCTGCCATATTCGTCTCCGAATCCTCCAGCACTCGCAAGTCCGACGAGGCCCGTTGCGATAACTACAATGAGGACACGCATAGTTATTCTTATAACTATTGACCGCTTTTTATCGTTACCGTTCGCTCACGTTTATCTAACTAGTCCAACACGTGTCGCTTTGCCGTTCTTCGCCGCTGGTCGCCTTTTGTACGCCGACATGACCCCGTGGTCCGCTGGTGGTGCTCGTGCCAGAAAAGTGGCAAGGGAACGCCGGGGCACATTTTGTTTTTGCGTGGACCGCCGCAAAAGGTCTGGGACAAAAGCGAGCTATGGACGTGGCAATTACTGCAGCAACAGCAAGGCAACGATAGAAGTCCCCACCTTTCACTACTACCGAATTTTAATACGTACTGCTGATCACGCATTACAGCAGTGCACTTGGTTGTTGTGTTTTTAGGCATTTTTTTCGACAGAATTAATTCAGTTATCCTTCCTTCTGATAGCCTGGTGACAATGCAATGCATCGATATAAAAAAACAACTTACATATAAAGCCAATAAGTAAAACGTCTGTGAGCTATGCTGTAGAGCCTACGAGAAATAAATCACTTCTCACCGGTTTTAAAAATTGAAAACTGGGTATAGTAGTACTTCGTTCGGGGCATTACGTCACAGGCAAGTACGACCCACAGTGGTTGGATCAATTAAAAAATCATATATTGCTGTCTAGTAGTTAGTTGGATTAGGTATACTAGTGTAGCAATAGGAACTTTAACATGCCACATCTATTAATGGATAAAACCGGTGTTTCCAGATCTCTTTTTTTTTTGGTACAGAATGACCCACACTAATTATAAGCTGTGTGTTCTTACGCAGAACAATTACATTTTGAACACGAGCTGTAAATGTGGACTGGTTAGCGTGGAATACTGACGCTCCATATTTTGTTACAGATACAAGCTGAATGTACGCAAAAACTCAATAAGATACCACGCCTGTGTTAGCTTTTGCTAAGGTCCAATATACGAGCTTGGCTATTAGCTTGAAGGTGTATTTCGTGCTAGTATGAACAGCAGCGATATTCTAGATAGCGTCGATAAGTGGGGTCTTTGATGGGAAGGATCTTAATTTATTCAAAAAACAGCGCCCGCCAACAATGTGCGTGTGTATAAATTCGACATGTGGACTTATCAGTTTGTAAAGAGTTAACATAGCTAAATATAAATATGTTCTAGTATTAAAGTTATGTTTCGATGGAAGTCTCCAATAAGTCGACAAACGTTCGCTGCAACTCTTCCATCCTTGCCGCTGGTGTTCGCTTTCGATTCATAAACCAGGTGGAGCCATCCAGGTTTGTTCCATTTCTTAATCTGTCAATGATATCTCTGTTTATGTAGCAGTTATGCTAGCATCTTACACACATAATCGTTGAACGTGACTGGCCAAAGTCAGCCATCAATTTAGTTGTGATAGAGTCTGGAGCCGACGAATCGGGCCGGGAAAGCTGCAAATAACAACATTCAGCGTTTTTGATCTAAACATATTTTCGGTTCCAAAAACTGTTGTGTTCAGACAACAGACCGCCGATCGGTTCCTATAATATTAACGACAACCATGCTTACGTCTGCTGTTGTTTTTACGATTTTTATAATACGAGACAACTATATTCTAGCTATGTGATAAAACGAATGGCTGTTTATTTTTTTTTTCTCTCAAATTGCCCGCGCGTATTCTATAATGATAAAGTTAAATGCTAAACTTTACTATAGTTAAATACTAAACCGTTTAGGTTTTAGCGAGTGTTGAAACGTTGTCGAATTGTTTCATACTGATAATTCCGAAAGCTATTCCATAAATATATAATAAAAACTATACTCGACAGATCGAGCGAACTAAATATCATAAATTAAGCTACATAAAACATAAAAGGCCTTTACTTACAGAATATATGGGAAATTAAAATCGTTGTTTCACGTCGCCTGTGAGTACTCCTTATATCTTATTTTCACAATATATACAATACTTCTGTCCATATATAATATTATTTATTTGCTCATAACAGGAGACCAGTGTGCAAGAAATGATTGATACAAAGCTCATTCTTGGCAGCAATTTTTGAGACGATTGTATCTATATACCTTTGCAGATTTAGGTAGCTTTTAGATTTACCCTCACGAAAATCTAACAATCCCAGACGACTAGTCGGCTTATTGAAAAGATCTATTTTCTTAGTAAGGTCTTCTGAAAATGATTGGAAATCTGAACTGCAATCCGCCTGCAGCTGGCACAAGAATATGGCTTTTTCAATTATTTATGTAAAGAATATATACCGAATATTTCGCAACACAAAATCAATTTCGGATGGGGTAAAAAAGTTGAATAGACGGAGGATTTTTCCCAATAGGGCACTGAAATTTATTTTATTGCTGAAAGTCAATGTAATTTGGCAAATACTATTTGTTGAAAATAAATAAGCATATGTGTGGCATGGAGAAGAAACTGTTCTTGCCTTTGATTTAGAGTCAGTTGATTAAAGATAAAACAGAGTGATAAATCAAACAAATATGATTTTTTGCAGTTGTTAGTATTCCAATTAAGTTAGCTGTCAATATCATAGCGAATTCCTGAGATAACGACCATTAACTATACCACATGCTTGATATCAGCGAAAAAAGAGCGGTAGACAACGGTGGAGCTATACGCGCTAAACTTGATTTAATGCGATCGCTGAAGACAGCCGTTACTACTAACAGGGTTTTTTCGTCGGTCTCGGACAATCAGTCAAGGACTGCTCTATCTCGTGGCCTACAATGAATTTCTATAAATTCAGTAATTTTCGAAAAAATATACCTATGTCATTGGTTCATGTAGTTACATAAGGTAAGTTATAATCTAGAAATCTAGTTAGGTAGATCATTAATGGTTTGTTGCAATGAAATGTCTCTTTCAATAGAGCGTAAACGGGCTATAAATATAGCTGGAGAAGACAATGCTTCAAAATCGTTAACCACCAAACCGTTTCAAAGCTTATAGTTCGTCTATCATAGTCTAATATAATTTTTTTTAATACATTTTTGATGTGCAGCGTGAGGTCGAGCTTTGAGTAACCCAAATACTGGCACACATTCATAAGTTCCATGCCTTTTCACTTTGACAAACGCTGAGCCCCAATTTTCAGAGTTTTGGTCCAGAACCGTCTTTGTTAAGTATTGCTTTAAACAGCTAGCCCGAAACCTAAGAAGCGATGTGTCTACGTCAGAAACCTAAGCCTAGGCTACCGTTGTGTCCCCCTGAATAATAAAAAAAGCTACGCTGTTATTACGCGGGGCACTTTAACTACCGTGACTATTTATGATTCTGGTACTAAAAGTTATCCGTGCTTACTTACGACTATCCAGAATCTGATGCATGTGTCGGCAATATAGTTTAGTGTGGGCTATACGTTGTTTCAGTAGCATGGTCAGAACCTGTTTCAAAAGTAACCCCATGCTGCATGCTATCGACAATCATAACAGCTAGCTAAAGCTATATCTTCGTTTATTTTGTACATGAAGTATGATATATACATATGTACATTTTTCCACGAGACTGAGTTGTACCCTAAAGCAAGTAGGTTCTTTACATCCTAGCGATAGCTTTGAGATGCTAGCTATCGCTTGCGTTCAGTCTCATATATGGCTGAAGTGCACTGGCCGGTGCAGCCCCAGCTTGGCCTAGCCCATATAGCCTTTTGTGCTATCATGTAATGTAATTCAATAAAGTGATTTTTATATTATGCACTTTCGTTGGTTTGGAAAATATCATTTGAGGCCAGGAGAAATTTTGGTAGGAACATTGGCTGGTCCTCGTGCTTTGTTACTAAGGTTTAGGTGTAAGGTGCGAAAAATACTTAGCTGTTATAGGTAACCCCACTTCTTGAAATTTGGTCGGAGAAAAGGGTCGGTGATTAAAAGTACGCCATAGTTATCCCAGAAGTGCTGCAAGTTTGATAATATTGCTTTTTTACACTAATATTCGTTTATCAGAGAAGCGAGAAATGGCTTATGTAGTTCCAGTCCTTTACAGCTGCACTATATTCTCCATGTTTTCCAATATATCGGCTATTTTCGAGCTTTCTTTTGAGGTTGGATCTATCGAATAGGACTCGAATTATAAATGTACTAGTTCATCAAAATTTGGACGCCACCATGCATGTTTTCGTGAACAGGAAGAGTTGGGGATTCAATTGCCTAAAAGCGGCTCTTTACTTAACATTGTTATCGCCCATCCTAGCAGGTTCTGTGTTATTTTATATGAACAAATAAATATGCATATATCCGTTTGGATCTTCTTGGTTTCTGTTCGTGAGAATCTTTTCCGCTAAGGCGGTTTTCATCGACTGACAATGTATAATGTCTTCGTTACCAAAGCGTTACCATTCTTCTTTGACGGTACGAAGCATGTGGTATGATTAATAGTCGCTACTTTCGCCAGAGATCTAGTGGAGCAAATTGAGTACGTCTTCGATTTGTCCAAGATACTCGATTGTCCTGAAAAAAATGTTACACTTTAAGAATTGAGGATTGTTTCAGCGTTTCACTAGCTTCATTCGTTCGCCGTTCAAGTGGGCTAGAAAATCCAGCTTGGTAAAATTGGTAATCATTTCATGTATTAAGACTCGCTATTTTCATTTGATTGGCTTCAAATTGACCTCTGTTTGACACGCACATATTTTTTTCTTTCTCAATAAGGATTGTATTCACTCAATGACATATTACCTAAGGCCAGAATAACAAAAATGATAACCTTTAAATACATATATATAATGCGAGAAAGAATGAAAAGGTGTTCTCGGTCCGACGTCTCAGTTTCAATTAGTTGCAGTGGTTGAATTCAAAGGTAGGTTCACTCAATGCTAGGCTATATACCTATCGATGCACTATGTTGCTATGCGCAATTTCATTTCACGAACTTCCTCCTATACTTCCAAATATATGCCCATATAAAATATTCGTTTATATACATAATATTTGCTATGATGAGGTCTGCGCTGGGAATTAAATATAACGGAAAATGATCCGGATGGTGACCACGCGTGTATTAAATTAAAATAACTAGATCTATACTAAAGTTTCTTACTACGTTATTATATATATTTGTTCTGTACATTGT